TACTGAACAGTCCGTGCGTCTCTACAGAGCAGTCCGTGCGTCTCTACAGAACAGTCCGTGTGTCTCTACAGAACAGTCCGTGCGTCTCTACTGAACAGTCCGTGCGTCTCTACAGAGCAGTCCGTGCGTCTCTACAGAACAGTCCGTGCGTCTCTACTGAACAGTCCGTGCGTCTCTACAGAACAGTCCGTGCGTCTCTACTGAACAGTCTGTGCGTCTCTACTGAACAGTCCGTGCGTCTCTACAGAGCAGTCCGTGCGTCTCTACTGAGCAGTCCGTGCGTCTCTACTGAACAGTCCGTGCGTCTCTACTGAACAGTCCGTGCGTCTCTACAGAACAGTCCGTGCGTCTCTACTGAACAGTCCGTGCGTCTCTACTGAACAGTCCGTGCGTCTCTACAGAACAGTCCGTGCGTCTCTACTGAACAGTCCGTGCGTCTCTACTGAACAGTCCGTGCGTCTCTACTGAACAGTCCGTGCGTCTCTACTGAACAGTCCGTGCGTCTCTACTGAACAGTCCGTGCGTCTCTACTGAACAGTCCGTGCGTCTCTACTGAACAGTCCGTGCGTCTCTACTGAGCAGTCCGTGTGTCTACTGAACAGTCCGTGTGTCTCTACTGAACAGTCCGTGCGTCTCTACTGAACAGTCCGTGCGTCTCTACAGAACAGTCCGTGCGTCTCTACAGAACAGTCCGTGCGTCTCTACTGAACAGTCCGTGCGTCTCTACTGAACAGTCCGTGCGTCTCTACTGAACAGTCCGTGCGTCTCTACTGAACAGTCTGTGCGTCTCTACAGAACAGTCCGTGCGTCTCTACAGAACAGTCCGTGCGTCTCTACAGAACAGTCCGTGCGTCTCTACAGAGCAGTCCGTGCGTCTCTACTGAACAGTCCGTGCGTCTCTACAGAACAGTCCGTGCGTCTCTACTGAACAGTCTGTGCGTCTCTACAGAACAGTCCGTGCGTCTCTACAGAACAGTCCGTGCGTCTCTACAGAGCAGTCCGTGCGTCTCTACTGAACAGTCCGTGCGTCTCTACAGAACAGTCCGTGCGTCTCTACAGAGCAGTCCGTGCGTCTCTACAGAACAGTCCGTGCGTCTCTACAGAGCAGTCCGTGCGTCTCTACAGAACAGTCCGTGCGTCTCTACAGAACAGTCCGTGCGTCTCTACAGAACAGTCCGTGCGTCTCTACTGAACAGTCCGTGCGTCTCTACTGAACAGTCCGTGCGTCTCTACAGAACAGTCCGTGCGTCTCTACTGAACAGTCCGTGCGTCTCTACAGAACAGTCCGTGCGTCTCTACTGAACAGTCCGTGCGTCTCTACTGAACAGTCCGTGTGTCTCTACAGAACAGTCCGTGCGTCTCTACAGAACAGTCCGTGCGTCTCTACAGAGCAGTCCGTGCGTCTCTACTGAACAGTCCGTGCGTCTCTACAGAACAGTCCGTGCGTCTCTACAGAGCAGTCCGTGCGTCTCTACAGAACAGTCCGTGCGTCTCTACTGAACAGTCCGTGTGTCTCTACTGAACAGTCCGTGCGTCTCTACAGAACAGTCCGTGCGTCTCTACTGAACAGTCCGTGCGTCTCTACTGAACAGTCCGTGCGTCTCTACTGAACAGTCCGTGCGTCTCTACTGAACAGTCCGTGCGTCTCTACAGAACAGTCCGTGCGTCTCTACTGAACAGTCCGTGCGTCTCTACTGAACAGTCCGTGCGTCTCTACAGAACAGTCCGTGCGTCTCTACTGAACAGTCCGTGCGTCTCTACAGAACAGTCTGTGCGTCTCTACAGAACAGTCCGTGCGTCTCTACTGAACAGTCCGTGCGTCTCTACAGAACAGTCCGTGCGTCTCTACTGAACAGTCCGTGCGTCTCTACTGAACAGTCCGTGCGTCTCTACTGAACAGTCCGTGCGTCTCTACTGAACAGTCCGTGCGTCTCTACTGAACAGTCCGTGCGTCTCTACTGAACAGTCCGTGCGTCTCTACTGAACAGTCCGTGCGTCTCTACTGAACAGTCCGTGCGTCTCTACTGAACAGTCCGTGCGTCTCTACTGAACAGTCCGTGCGTCTCTACTGAACAGTCCGTGCGTCTCTACTGAACAGTCCGTGCGTCTCTACAGAGCAGTCTGTGCGTCTCTACTGAACAGTCCGTGCGTCTCTACTGAACAGTCCGTGCGTCTCTACAGAACAGTCCGTGCGTCTCTACAGAACAGTCCGTGCGTCTCTACTGAACAGTCCGTGCGTCTCTACAGAACAGTCCGTGCGTCTCTACTGAACAGTCCGTGCGTCTCTACTGAACAGTCTGTGCGTCTCTACAGAACAGTCCGTGCGTCTCTACAGAACAGTCCGTGCGTCTCTACTGAACAGTCCGTGCGTCTCTACTGAACAGTCCGTGCGTCTCTACTGAACAGTCCGTGCGTCTCTACTGAACAGTCCGTGCGTCTCTACTGAACAGTCCGTGCGTCTCTACAGAACAGTCCGTGCGTCTCTACTGAACAGTCCGTGCGTCTCTACTGAACAGTCCGTGCGTCTCTACAGAACAGTCCGTGCGTCTCTACTGAACAGTCCGTGCGTCTCTACAGAACAGTCCGTGCGTCTCTACTGAACAGTCCGTGCGTTGGTGTATGTCATGGTTAATAACATTTAATTATGTATAATAAAGCAGCTACCACCCTGCTCTGTGCTGTTCACTCATCTATGTGTGTCTGTGTGTGGCAGGTCTCTATGGTGGAGCTCAGCAGTGGCCTCTGCTCTCCTCGTGCCCCTCTCCATCTTCATGAGTGAGTCTCACACACACACACACACACACACACACACACACACACACACACACACACACACACACACACACACACACACACACACACACACACACACACACACACACACACACACACACACACACACACACACACACACACACACACACACACACACACACACACAGTAATGCTCCTGTGTGTTTCAGTGACTGGTTGTGGTTCTTTGGGCGACTGGAGAAAAGCCAAGACCGAGGTACAGCTCTTTACAATACTGTCTCTGACCACAGCGCCCCCTCAGGCTGTGTGTGTGTACTGCAGCCAGAGAGAGAACATGTCTGACCACAGCGCCCCCTCAGACTGTGTGTGTGTACTGCAGCCAGAGAGAGAACATGTCTGACCACAGCGCCCCCTCAGGCTGTGTGTGTGTACTGCAGCCAGAGAGAGAACATGTCTGACCACAGCGCCCCCTCAGGCTGTGTGTGTGTACTGCAGCCAGAGAGAGAACATGTCTGACCACAGCGCCCCCTCAGGCTGTGTGTGTGTACTGCAGCCAGAGAGAGAACATGTCTGACCACAGCGCCCCCTCAGGCTGTGTGTGTGTACTGCAGCCAGAGAGAGAACATGTCTGACCACAGCGCCCCCTCAGACTGTGTGTGTGTACTGCAGCCAGAGAGAGAACATGTCTGACCACAGCGCCCCCTCAGACTGTGTGTGTGTACTGCAGCCAGAGAGAGAACATGTCTGACCACAGCGCCCCCTCAGACTGTGTGTGTGTACTGCAGCCAGAGAGAGTACATGTCTGACCACAGCGCCCCCTCAGACTGTGTGTGTGTACTGCAGCCAGAGAGAGAACATGTCTGACCACAGCGCCCCCTTCAGTCTGTAACAGGATATTAACCCTCTGCTCTCCACAGGACATCACCTCCAGGAACGAGTAGAGGGACGCCTGAAGAGAGAGAGATCAAAAATGTTTTTTATTAAATTAGATAAAATAGTACAATACGTTACTCATGAAGCTTTAAATCATGACAATGATTCCATTCTGCGTCAGAGGTTTGATGGTCTCTGTCCTGTAGCACCAGAGGAAGAGGCCTGTTCCGTCCATGGCTGGCCTCGTTAGGGGTCGTTCTTGTCCCTGCTTTGACCATGGTGTAAACAGAAGCAAGATTGTACCTCATTTCCAAAAGTCTCGAGTGTGAAGTGAGAATGACGGGACGAGAAACGGGGCACGAGGACAAGATTTGGACTTAAACAAAGTTAAAAATAAAATGCTTTCTTTGAACCAGAGCCTCGAGCCTCATCCTGTCTGTGTCAGGGGCCTCATCCTGTCTGTGTCAGGGGCCTCAGGACTATCAAGAGGATCATGTCTCATGGTTCTTCTTCCCTTCATTATCCTCAGAATACATGTGTGTATATAAATATATATACGTATGTAAAGAGCTCAGACCAAAGCAGCCGTGTCCTTATGGTCTGGCACCAGGTGGAATGTGTCGATGGTGTGTCATGAGGAGAGAAGTCCATATGTAGATGTTCTAACGTAGAGTAATGGAACAAAACATCAGCCTTTTAAAGCTGCTTTGACTCCAGTGACCAGCAGGAGGCGCTCTCTGTTAAACAGGTCAATTATAATAATGTTGTTCACTTTTGCACTGAAACTTTATAAACGTTTGTATTTGTGTAGTTCGATGATGATGATGATGGCACTTACAGAAACACATGTGGAAGAATAAATCTATTTCAAATAAAGTTTTGGATCTGAATCATTCACAAGATTCTGAAACGTGGATCTCACACAGATCATAGAGACAAGAGGCCAAAACTACAGACTCCAGCCACTGTTTATAGTCAAGGGGAAAAGCATGAGTTTGAAATGGACATGACATCTGTGTGTGTGTATCTGGGTGTGTAGCTGTGTGTGTATCTGGGTGTGTGTATCTGTGTGTGTCTGTCTGTGTGTGTGTGTGCATGTGTATCTGTGTGCATCTGTGTGTGTGTGCGTCTGTGTGTAGCTGTGTGCATCTGTGCGTGTGTATCTGTGTGTGTGTGTGCGTGTGTATGTGTTTGTATCTGTGTGTGTGTGTGCGTGTGTATCTGTGTGTGTGTGTGTGTATCTGAAGAAAAGCGGAACCCCAGTTACTTATGTATTCACTGTGAGCTAATATTAGCTGCTAACATTAGCAGCTAATATTACAAACAGTTCATTCATCTCAGAGGAACTGTGTGTGTCTTTCTAGGGTCAGAGGTCAGAGGGCCTGAGGGTCCTGGGCATGGTGCTTCTGCTGGTGCAGCCTGAGGTTCTGTTTCCCGGCAAAGCGTTTTCCGCAGCTGAAGCAAGGGTGGGGCCGGTCCCCTGTGTGGACGCTCTGGTGGGTCTTCAAGTGCCCAGACTGAGTGAAGCGTTTACCGCACTGTGCGCAGCAGAAGGGCCGCTCGCCCGTGTGCACGCGGATGTGCGTCTCAAGGCCGCGCGCCGACGAGAAGCACTTCCCGCAGTAGGTGCAGCAGAAACGCCGTTCGCCGCCGCCGCCGCTGCGACTCAGCTCAAGCTGCGACGCACTGAGGCCCAGGAACGGGAAGGCGTCTGCTCTGTGCGCAGGTCTGTGCGCAGGTCTGTGCGCAGGTCTGTGCGCGGTGACATCACTGAGATCTGTGGAGTCACATGAAAAACAGATTCAGTTCCAGATCAAAGCTCAGACCCCTGACCCCTGACCCCTGACCATCAGCTTCACTGAAGGTTTTTAAATAGAGTCTAAAACACATTTGTGTTCTGAGTTCCACAGTTTGTAAATGTGCTGCACAAATAAATGTGACACAGACATGAAGCATACAGCACTTTCCCAGAGGACCATGTGTCTTTCCCAGAGGACCATGTGTCTTTCCCAGAGGACCATGTGTCTTTCCCAGAGGACCATGTGTCTTTCCCAGAGGACCATGTGTCTTTCCCAGAGGACCATGTGTCTTTCCCAGAGGACCATGTGTCTTTCCCAGAGGACCATGTGTCTTTCCCAGAGGACCATGTGTCTTTCATCTGGACCAGTTCCCAGCTCAGACTCAGGTCCTGGGTCTACCCCTGGTCTCCTCTCAGAGGGAGGTGTTCAGGAGGCATCCCAGATGCTTTTCTCCATGTGGAGGAGCAGCGGCTCTACGCTGAGCTCCTCACGTGCCCTGCCACCTCCTGTGGTTCCATCTGTTTCAGCTGATGAGAGCGACAGACCCACTGTGCCCTGGACTCGAACATCTACAGGTCCCAGAGCGTTAGAGACTGAGGCAGAGACTGAGGCAGAGACTGAAGCAGAGACTGAAGCAGAGACTGAGGCAGAGACTGAGGCAGAGACTGAAGCAGAGACTGAAGCAGAGACTGAAGCAGAGACTGAGGCAGAGACTGAAGCAGAGACTGAGGCAGAGACTGAGGCAGAGACTGAAGCAGAGACTGAAGCAGAGACTGAGGCAGAGACTGAGGCAGAGACTGAAGCAGAGACTGAGGCAGAGACTGAGGCAGAGACTGAGGCAGAGATGAAGCAGAGACTGAAGCAGAGACTGAGGCAGAGACTGAGGCAGAGACTGAGGCAGAGACTGAGGCAGAGACTGAAGCAGAGACTGAAGCAGAGACTGAAGCAGAGACTGAAGCAGAGACTGAGGCAGAGACTGAGGCAGAGACTGAGGCAGAGACTGAGGCAGAGACTGAAGCAGACTGAAGCAGAGACTGAAGCAGAGACTGAAGCAGAGACTGAAGCAGAGACTGAGGCAGAGACTGAAGCAGAGACTGAAGCAGAGACTGAAGCAGAGACTGAAGCAGAGACTGAGGCAGAGACTGAGGCAGAGACTGAGCAGAGACTGAAGCAGAGACTGAAGCAGAGACTGAGCAGAGACTGAGCAGAGACTGAGCAGAGACTGAGCAGAGACTGAGGCAGAGACTGAGGCAGAGACTGAGCAGAGACTGAGCAGAGACTGAGGCAGAGACTGAAGCAGAGACTGAGGCAGAGACTGAAGCAGAGACTGAAGCAGAGACTGAAGCAGAGACTGAAGCAGAGACTGAGCAGAGACAGAGAGACTGAGGCAGAGACTGAGGCAGAGACTGAAGCAGAGACTGAAGCAGAGACTGAAGCAGAGACTGAGCAGAGACTGAGGCAGAGACTGAGCAGAGACTGAGGCAGAGACTGAGGCAGAGACTGAGGCAGAGACTGAAGCAGAGACTGAAGCAGAGACTGAAGCAGAGACTGAAGCAGAGACTGAGGCAGAGACTGAGGCAGAGACTGAAGCAGAGACTGAAGCAGAGACTGAGCAGAGACTGAAGCAGAGACTGAGGCAGAGACTGAGCAGAGACTGAGGCAGAGACTGAGCAGAGACTGAGGCAGAGACTGAGGCAGAGACTGAGGCAGAGACTGAAGCAGAGACTGAAGCAGAGACTGAAGCAGAGACTGAAGCAGAGACTGAGGCAGAGACTGAGGCAGAGACTGAAGCAGAGACTGAAGCAGAGACTGAAGCAGAGACTGAAGCAGAGACTGAAGCAGAGACTGAGGCAGAGACTGAGGCAGAGACTGAGGCAGAGACTGAGGCAGAGACTGAGGCAGAGACTGAAGCAGAGACTGAAGCAGAGACTGAAGCAGAGACTGAAGCAGAGACTGAAGCAGAGACTGAGGCAGAGACTGAGGCAGAGACTGAAGCAGAGACTGAAGCAGACTGACTGAGGCAGAGACTGAAGCAGAGACTGAGGCAGAGACTGAGGCAGAGACTGAGGCAGAGACTGAGGCAGAGACTGAGGCAGAGACTGAAGCAGAGACTGAAGCAGAGACTGAAGCAGAGACTGAAGCAGAGACTGAGGCAGAGACTGAAGCAGAGACTGAGGCAGAGACTGAAGCAGAGACTGAGGCAGAGACTGAGGCAGAGACTGAAGCAGAGACTGAAGCAGAGACTGAGGCAGAGACTGAGCAGAGACTGAAGCAGAGACTGAAGCAGAGACTGAAGCAGAGACTGAGGCAGAGACTGAGCAGAGACTGAGGCAGAGACTGAAGCAGAGACTGAGGCAGAGACTGAAGCAGAGACTGAAGCAGAGACTGAAGCAGAGACTGAGCAGAGACTGAGGCAGAGACTGAGGCAGAGACTGAGGCAGAGACTGAGGCAGAGACTGAGGCAGAGACTGAGGCAGAGACTGAAGCAGAGACTGAAGCAGAGACTGAAGCAGAGACTGAAGCAGAGACTGAGCAGAGACTGAAGCAGAGACTGAGGCAGAGACTGAGGCAGAGACTGAGGCAGAGACTGAAGCAGAGACTGAAGCAGAGACTGAGGCAGAGACTGAAGCAGAGACAGAGACTGAGGCAGAGACTGAGCAGAGACTGAAGCAGAGACTGAGGCAGAGACTGAGGCAGAGACTGAGGCAGAGACTGAGGCAGAGACTGAGGCAGAGACTGAGCAGAGACTGAGGCAGAGACTGAGGCAGAGACTGAAGCAGAGACTGAAGCAGAGACTGAAGCAGAGACTGAGGCAGAGACTGAGGCAGAGACTGAGGCAGAGACTGAGGCAGAGACTGAGCAGAGACTGAGCAGAGACTGAAGCAGAGACTGAAGCAGAGACTGAAGCAGAGACTGAGGCAGAGACTGAGGCAGAGACTGAGGCAGAGACTGAAGCAGAGACTGAAGCAGAGACTGAAGCAGAGACTGAGGCAGAGACTGAGGCAGAGACTGAGGCAGAGACTGAGGCAGAGACTGAAGCAGAGACTGAGGCAGAGACTGAGGCAGAGACTGAGGCAGAGACTGAAGCAGAGACTGAGGCAGAGACTGAAGCAGAGACTGAGGCAGAGACTGAGGCAGAGACTGAGGCAGAGACTGAAGCAGAGACTGAGGCAGAGACTGAAGCAGAGACTGAGGCAGAGACTGAAGCAGAGACTGAAGCAGAGACTGAGGCAGAGACTGAGGTTGAGACTGAGGCAGAGACTGAAGCAGAGACTGAAGCAGAGACTGAAGCAGAGACTGAAGCAGAGACTGAAGCAGAGACTGAGCAGAGACTGAGGCAGAGACTGAAGCAGAGACTGAGGCAGAGACTGAGGCAGAGACTGAGGCAGAGACTGAGGCAGAGACTGAGGCAGAGACTGAGGCAGAGACTGAAGCAGAGACTGAAGCAGAGACTGAGGCAGAGACTGAGGCAGAGACTGAGGCAGAGACTGAGGCAGAGACTGAGGCAGAGACTGAGGCAGAGACTGAAGCAGAGACTGAAGCAGAGACTGAAGCAGAGACTGAGGCAGAGACTGAGGCAGAGACTGAGGCAGAGACTGAGGCAGAGACTGAGCAGAGACTGAGGCAGAGACTGAAGCAGAGACTGAAGCAGAGACTGAGGCAGAGACTGAGCAGAGACTGAGGCAGAGACTGAGCAGAGAGACTGAGGCAGAGACTGAGGCAGAGACTGAGGCAGAGACTGAGGCAGAGACTGAAGCAGAGACTGAGGCAGAGACTGAGGCAGAGACTGAGGCAGAGACTGAGGCAGAGACTGAGGCAGAGACTGAAGCAGAGAGAGACTGAAGCAGAGACTGAAGCAGAGACTGAGGCAGAGACTGAGGCAGAGACTGAGGCAGAGACTGAAGCAGAGACTGAGGCAGAGACTGAGGCAGAGACTGAAGCAGAGACTGAAGCAGAGACTGAAGCAGAGACTGAAGCAGAGACTGAAGCAGAGACTGAAGCAGAGACTGAAGCAGAGACTGAAGCAGAGACTGAAGCAGAGACTGAGGCAGAGACTGAGGCAGAGACTGAAGCAGAGACTGAGGCAGAGACTGAGCAGAGACTGAGAGACTGAGGCAGAGACTGAGGCAGAGACTGAAGCAGAGACTGAAGCAGAGACTGAAGCAGAGACTGAAGCAGAGACTGAAGCAGAGACTGAGGCAGAGACTGAGGCAGAGACTGAGGCAGAGACTGAGGCAGAGACTGAACAGAGACTGAAGCAGAGACTGAAGCAGAGACTGAAGCAGAGACTGAAGCAGAGACTGAAGCAGAGACTGAAGCAGAGACTGAAGCAGAGACTGAGGCAGAGACTGAGGCAGAGACTGAGCAGAGACTGAGCAGAGACTGAAGCAGAGACTGAAGCAGAGACTGAAGCAGAGACTGAGGCAGAGACTGAGGCAGAGACTGAGGCAGAGACTGAGGCAGAGACTGAGGCAGAGACTGAGGCAGAGACTGAGGCAGAGACTGAGGCAGAGACTGAGGCAGAGACTGAGCAGAGACTGAGGCAGACTGAGCAGAGACTGAGGCAGAGACTGAAGCAGAGACTGAAGCAGAGACTGAGGCAGAGACTGAGGCAGAGACTGAGGCAGAGACTGAGGCAGAGACTGAAACAGAGACTGAGGCAGAGACTGAAACACAGACTGAAGCAGAGACTGAAGCAGAGACTGAGGCAGAGACTGAGGCAGAGACTGAGGCAGAGACTGAGGCAGAGACTGAAACAGAGACTGAGGCAGAGACTGAAGCAGAGACTGAGGCAGAGACTGAGGCAGAGACTGAAGCAGAGACTGAGGCAGAGACTGAAGCAGAGACTGAGGCAGAGACTGAGGCAGAGACTGAGGCAGAGACTGAGGCAGAGACTGAGGCAGAGACTGAGAGCAGAGACTGAGGCAGAGACTGAAGCAGAGACTGAAGCAGAGACTGAGCAGAGACAGAGACTGAGGCAGAGACTGAGGCAGAGACTGAGGCAGAGACTGAGGCAGAGACTGAGGCAGAGACTGAGGCAGAGACTGAGGCAGAGACTGAAGCAGAGACTGAAGCAGAGACTGAGCAGAGACTGAGGCAGAGACTGAGGCAGAGACTGAGGCAGAGACTGAGGCAGAGACTGAGCAGAGACTGAGGCAGAGACTGAGGCAGAGACTGAGGCAGAGACTGAGGCAGAGACTGAGGCAGAGACTGAAGCAGAGACTGAAGCAGAGACTGAAGCAGAGACTGAGGCAGAGACTGAGGCAGAGACTGAGGCAGAGACTGAGGCAGAGACTGAGGCAGAGACTGAAGCAGAGACTGAGGCAGAGACTGAGGCAGAGACTGAAGCAGAGACTGAAGCAGAGACTGAAGCAGAGACTGAGGCAGAGACTGAGGCAGAGACTGAAGCAGAGACTGAAGCAGAGACTGAGGCAGAGACTGAGGCAGAGACTGAAGCAGAGACTGAGTCAGAGACTGAAACACAGACCTGGTCTGTCCTGCAGCGTGAACACGCCCAGCTCTGGCTCCAGGCGCAGACTCTGAGTGCTCCATGTTCTCTGCGGCGCAGCAGACGCAGCAGGTGCAGCAGACGCAGCAGGTGCAGCAGACGCAGCAGGTGCAGCAGACGCAGCAGACGTAGCAGGTGCAGCAGACGCAGCAGACGTAGCAAGTGCAGCAGACGCAGCGCTGAGGCTGAAGCCTCCTCCACAGGCCTTTGGGGTCAGGTCTATGACTTTGTGTGTAGCGCCCCCTGCAGGAGTGGAGGGCACAGAGGGTCCTGCGGCGCTCTTCTCTGGCTCTGGAACAAACAACATTCACTGTTTCCTGTTTCAGTCTGACTCAAACTGAAGCCACAGGTCTCACCTGTGAGCTCCTGCGGCAGCGACATCTCGTACTCTTCATCAGTGTCTTCCTCTTTGATCACCACCACATCAGCCTCTTCCTCCTCCTCCTCTTCCTCCTCTGCGGTCGACAGCCTCTGGACACAGGGATCACAGTCACAGTGTCAGCCTGCACAACGAGGCGCATCAGTCATACATCTTACTCCCAGAGGATCTTTGGAGGAAGAATGAAGGACCTAGTTTGAGTCTAACACGAGCCGAGACCCGGCGGGTTCAGGAAGGACTAAACCACTACAGGAGTTTCTCAGAGGGCCTTACAAAGCTGTCCATTCACCAAAACAGATCAGAGAACTGATCAGACCAGGACAGGCCGGTCCTGGCCTGTCCTGGTCTGTCCTGGTCTGTCCTGGTCTGTCCTGGTCTGTCCTGGTCTGTCCTGGCCTGTCCTGGTCTGTCCTGGTCTGTCCTGGTCTGTCCTGGTCTGTCCTGGCCTGTCCTGGCCTGTCCTGGCCGGTCCTGGCCTGTCCTGGTCTGTCCTGGTCTGTCCTGGTCTGTCCTGGTCTGCCCTGGTCTGTCCTGGCCTGTCCTGGTCTGTCCTGGTCTGTCCTGGTCTGTCCTGGTCTGTCCTGGCCTGTCCTGGTCTGTCCTGGTCTGTCCTGTCCTGGCCTGGCCTGGCCTCTGGCCTGGCCTGTCCTGTCCTGGCCTGGCCTCTGGCCTGTCCTGGTCGGTGTTGGTGAGGATCCATGACACAGTTTGAACACAGAGCTTATGGCAGAAGGGTCGGGGGGACAGTGTGATGTGACATCACTCTCTCACCAGGCTCAGCTGCAGAGTGGCCTCAGCAGGGGGCCCCTGGGAGCCTGTGCTGTCTGCAGGAGACACATCCTCACAACACTTCACTTTGGTCTCAGGTCCTGGAGACGAGTCTGCAAACACACACTCTGATTACACACACACTCTGATTACACACACACACTCTGATTACACACACACTCTGATTACACACACACACTCTGATTACACACACACACTCTGATTACACACACACACTCTGATTACACACACACACTCTGATTACACACACACTCTGATTACACACACACACTCTGATTACACACACACACTCTGATTACACACACACACTCTGATTACACACACACTGATTACACACACACACTCTGATTACACACACACTGATTACACACACACTGATTACACACACACACTCTGATTACACACACTCTGATTACACACACACACTCTGATTACACACACACACTCTGATTACACACACACACACTGATTACACACACACTGATTACACACACACACTCTGATTACACACACACACTCTGATTACACACACACACACTGATTACACACACACTGATTACACACACACACTCTGATTACACACACACTGATTACACACACACACACTCTGATTACACACACACTGATTACACACACACTGATTACACACACACACTCTGATTACACACACACTGATTACACACACACACTCTGATTACACACACACACTCTGATTACACACACACTCTGATTACACACACACTGATTACACACACACACTCTGATTACACACACACTGATTACACACACACACTCTGATTACACACACACTGATTACACACACACACTCTGATTACACACACTCTGATTACACACACACACTCTGATTACACACACTCTGATTACACACACACACACTCTGATTACACACACACTGATTACACACACACACACTCTGATTACACACACTCTGATTACACACACACACTCTGATTACACACACACACTCTGATTACACACACACACTCTGATTACACACACACACTCTGATTACACACACACTGATTACACACACACTGATTACACACACACACTCTGATTACACACACACTGATTACACACACACACACTCTGATTACACACACACTGATTACACACACACTGATTACACACACACACTCTGATTACACACACACTGATTACACACACACACTCTGATTACACACACACTGATTACACACACACACTCTGATTACACACACACACTCTGATTACACACACACTCTGATTACACACACACTGATTACACACACACACTCTGATTACACACACACTGATTACACACACACACTCTGATTACACACACTCTGATTACACACACACACTCTGATTACACACACACACTCTGATTACACACACACTGATTACACACACACACTCTGATTACACACACACTGATTACACACACACTGATTACACACACACACTCTGATTACACACACACTGATTACACACACACACACTCTAATTACACACACACTGATTACACACACACTGATTACACACACACACTCTGATTACACACACACTGATTACACACACACTGATTACACACACACACTCTGATTACACACACACTGATTACACACACACACACTGATTACACACACACACTCTGATTACACACACACACTCTGATTACACACACACTGATTACACACACACACTCTGATTACACACACACTGATTACACACACACACTCTGATTACACACACACACACTGATTACACACACACACTCTGATTACACACACACTGATTACACACACACACACTGATTACACACACACTCTGATTACACACACACTGATTACACACACACACTCTGATTACACACACACACACTGATTACACACACACACTCTGATTACACACACACACTCTGAAAACACACACACACTCTGATTACACACACACACACACTCTGATTACACACACACACTCTGATTACACACACTCTGATTACACACACACACTCTGATTACACACACTCTGATTACACGCACACACTCTGATTACACACACACACACACTCTGATTACACACACACACACACTCTGATTACACACACACACACTCTGATTACACACACACACTCTGATTACACACACACTGATTACACACACACACTCTGATTACACACACACACACACTCTGATTACACACACACACACTCTGATTACACACACACACTCTGATTACACACACACACTCTGGTTACACACACACACTCTGATTACACACACACACTCTGATTACACACACACACTCTGGTTACACACACACACTCTGATTACACACACACACTCTGGTTACACACACACACACTCTGGTTACACACACACATCATTATGTCATCACAGGTGGGACTTGGTATTAATGTGAGGACATCATAGAGTCACAGACATCATAGAGTCACAGCAGACATCATAGAGTCACAGACATCATAGAGTCACTGCAGACATCATAGAGTCACTGCAGACATCATAGAGTCACAGCAGACATCATAGAGTCACTGCAGACATCATAGAGTCACAGCAGACATCATAGAGTCACTGCAGACATCATAGAGTCACAGCAGACATCATAGAGTCACTGCAGACATCATAGAGTCACAGCAGACATCATAGAGTCACAGACATCATAGAGTCACTGCAGACATCATAGAGTCACTGCAGACATCATAGAGTCACAGCAGACATCATAGAGTCACAGACATCATAGAGTCACTGCAGACATCATAGAGTCACAGACATCATAGAGTCACTGCAGACATCATAGAGTCACAGACATCATAGAGTCACTGCAGACATCATAGAGTCACAGCAGACATCATAGAGTCACAGCAGACATCATAGAGTCACAGCAGACATCATAGAGTCACAGCAGACATCATAGAGTCACAGCAGACATCATAGAGTCACTGCAGACATCATAGAGTCACAGCAGACATCATAGAGTCACAGACATCATAGAGTCACTGCAGACATCATAGAGTCACAGCAGACATCATAGAGTCACTGCAGACATCATAGAGTCACAGCAGACATCATAGAGTCACAGACATCATAGAGTCACAGCAGACATCATAGAGTCACAGCAGACATCATAGAGTCACAGCAGACATCATAGAGTCACTGCAGACATCATAGAGTCACAGCAGACATCATAGAGTCACAGACATCATAGAGTCACTGCAGACATCATAGAGTCACTACAGACATCATAGAGTCACTGCAGACATCATAGAGTCACAGCAGACATCAGAGTCACTGCAGGCATCATAGAGTCACTGCAGACATCATAGAGTCACAGCAGACATCATAGAGTCACTGCAGACATCATAGAGTCACAGCAGACATCATAGAGTCACTGCAGACATCATAGAGTCACTGCAGACATCATAGAGTCACTGCAGACATCATAGAGTCACAGCAGACATCATAGAGTCACAGACATCATAGAGTCACTGCAGACATCATAGAGTCACAGCAGACATCATAGAGTCACTGCAGACATCATAGAGTCAGCAGACATCATAGAGCAGACATCATAGAGTCACTGCAGACATCATAGAGTCACTGCAGACATCATAGAGTCACTGCAGACATCATAGAGTCACTGCAGACATCATAGAGTCACTGCAGACATCATAGAGTCACTGCAGACATCATAGAGTCACTGCAGACATCATAGAGTCACTGCAGACATCATAGAGTCACTGCAGACATCATAGAGTCACTGCAGACATCATAGAGTCACTGCAGACATCATAGAGTCACAGCAGACATCATAGAGTCACAGACATCATAGAGTCACTGCAGACATCATAGAGTCACTGCAGACATCATAGAGTCACTGCAGACATCATAGAGTCACTGCAGACATCATAGAGTCACTGCAGACATCATAGAGTCACAGCAGACATCATAGAGTCACTGCAGACATCATAGAGTCACTGCAGACATCATAGAGTCACTGCAGACATCATAGAGTCACTGCAGACATCATAGAGTCACTGCAGACATCACATAATCAGCCTCTGGTCTGCTGTGTGCTGGTTGCTAGGATACCAGATGCTAAAGCGTAATGGAAACATGCAGCGGAGAGCAGAGCATCAGGACATGAGTCCAGAGCATTGGAGCCTCTCTCTCACCCCCACACGGCTTGTCCTTCCCCGCGTACAGCAGCGCAGGGCCTCGGTGTTCCCGGTGCTCCCGGTGGTCTCCCCGGTCCCCCCTGGTCCCTCCGTGGACTCCGTGCAGCAGCTGCAGCTTGCTCCTCAGCGCCTGGTTCTCTCTGTGGCTGCGGCTCAGCTCCATCTGCAGAGCGGCGTAGCTCTCATCCAGGAGGGCGCACATCTCTGCCACCGCGGCCATGATGGAGGCCAGCTGCGAGCGGACTGCGGGGTACGAGCTGCTCATGCTGAGAGCACAGGGACAGGGAGCACAGGGACAGGGAAGCACAGGGACCAGGCCTCGACACTGAGCAGCGAGGCGGCCGCAGGGCAGACACGGCCACAGCGGCCAGCGGAGGCGGAGGCTGTCGCGGAAATGAGGTGCTGTGGTTCCGTGGTGAAAGACTATGGAGGTGTCCACCTAGAGCCCTGCAGAGCATCTGTTGCCGTGGCAATTGCGGCGGCCATCTTGGTAATGTCACTAACCGATGTCACCGGGTTCAAATTCAGCTTCCGGGTTCCTCCTGCTCATTTGTATTGACCTTTTTGCCATAAACAATGACTTAAGTATATTTTACAAGAATCACATTTCCCCAAACAAACCTGGAGCCACCAATATTTAGTAAAATTGACGTCTGCAGAAGGTTTAATCTTGAACAGTTTGAACAGAATCAACACTTCCAAAATGGCGGCGGCTGCTGTTGTCGGGGATCTCTCTAGCGCAGTTTTCAGGCCGGGCCGTTGTTATTGTTGTGATTTTTCGTGTGTTTAAAGGTAACGAGACATACTCCCGTAGGACACACGGTCCACGGGCTCCTACACGGTATGAGAACCGAATATGAATAGTATATGAATAGTATAATAACAGTATAATAACAGTATAATAACAGTGTAATTACAGTGTAATTACAGTATAATAACAGTATAATAGCAGGAGTATGAATACCATTTTGTGTGCTCCTCGTGCTCTGTCCGTTTCAACACTGACAATGCAACGGACTCACGTGGTCTTAAACGTGACCACGTGAGTCCCAAGCGTCCTGTGGTTGCCATGACAACGCCAAACAAAACAGACCGCAGTCATCATGGTGCATAGTGAGTGAAACTGGTCTCTTCTGGTCTCAGACTCTGGTCTCACTCTGGTCTCAGACTCTGGTCTCAGACTCTGGTCTCAGACTCTGGTCTCACTCTGGTCTCACTCTGGTCTCAGACTCTGGTCTCAGACTCTGGTCTCAGACTCTGGTCTCAGACTCTGGTCTCAGACTCTGGTCTCACTCTGGTCTCAGACTCTGGTCTCAGACTCTGGTCTCAGACTCTGGTCTCACTCTGGTCTCACTCTGGTCTCAGACTCTGGTCTCAGACTCTGGTCTCAGACTCTGGTCTCACTCTGGTCTCACTCTGGTCTCACTCTGGTCTCAGACTCTGGTCTCAGACTCTGGTCTCAGACTCTGGTCTCAGACTCTGGTCTCAGACTCTGGTCTCAGACTCTGGTCTCACTCTGGTCTCAGACTCTGGTCTCAGACTCTGGTCTCAGACTCTGGTCTCAGACTCTGGTCTCACTCTGGTCTCAGACTCTGGTCTCAGACTCTGGTCTCAGACTCTGGTCTCAGACTCTGGTCTCACTCTGGTCTCAGACTCTGGTCTCAGACTCTGGTCTCAGACTCTGGTCTCACTCTGGTCTCACTCTGGTCTCACTCTGGTCTCACTCTGGTCTCAGACTCTGGTCTCAGACTCTGGTCTCACTCTGGTCTCAGACTCTGGTCTCAGACTCTGGTCTCACTCTGGTCTCAGACTCTGGTCTCAGACTCTGGTCTCAGACTCTGGTCTCACTCTGGTCTCACTCTGGTCTCACTCTGGTCTCAGACTCTGGTCTCAGACTCTGGTCTCACTCTGGTCTCACTCTGGTCTCAGACTTTGGTCTCAGACTCTGGTCTCAGACTCTGGTCTCACTCTGGTCTCAGACTCTGGTCTCACTCTGGTCTCAGACTCTGGTCTCAGACTCTGGTCTCAGACTCTGGTCTCACTCTGGTCTCACTCTGGTCTCACTCTGGTCTCACTCTGGTCTCAGACTCTGGTCTCAGACTCTGGTCTCAGACTCTGGTCTCAGACTCTGGTCTCACTCTGGTCTCAGACTCTGGTCTCAGACTCTGGTCTCAGACTCTGGTCTCACTCTGGTCTCAGACTCTGGTCTCAGACTCTGGTCTCAGACTCTGGTCTCAGACTCTGGTCTCACTCTGGTCTCAGACTCTGGTCTCACTCTGGTCTCAGACTCTGGTCTCAGACTCTGGTCTCAGACTCTGGTCTCACTCTGGTCTCAGACTCTGGTCTCACTCTGGTCTCACTCTGGTCTCACTCTGGTCTCAGACTCTGGTCTCAGACTCTGGTCTCAGACTCTGGTTCAGACTCTGGTCTCACTCTGGTCTCAGACTCTGGTCTCACTCTGGTCTCAGACTCTGGTCTCACTCTGGTCTCACTCTGGTCTCAGACTCTGGTCTCAGACTCTGGTCTCAGACTCTGGTCTCAGACTCTGGTCTCACTCTGGTCTCAGACTCTGGTCTCACTCTGGTCTCAGACTCTGGTCTCACTCTGGTCTCAGACTCTGGTCTCAGACTCTGGTCTCACTCTGGTCTCAGACTCTGGTCTCACTCTGGTCTCAGACTCTGGTCTCAGACTCTGGTCTCACTCTGGTCTCAGACTCTGGTCTCAGACTCTGGTCTCAGACTCTGGTCTCAGACTCTGGTCTCAGACTCTAGTCTCAGACTCTGGTCTCACTCTGGTCTCAGACTCTGGTCTCACTCTGGTCTCAGACTCTGGTCTCAGACTCTGGTCTCACTCTGGTCTCAGACTCTGGTCTCACTTTGGTCTCACTCTGGTCTCAGACTCTGGTCTCAGACTCTGGTCTCACTCTGGTCTCAGACTCTGGTCTCACTCTGGTCTCAGACTCTGGTCTCAGACTCTGGTCTCAGACTCTGGTCTCAGACTCTGGTCTCACTCTGGTCTCAGACTCTGGTCTCACTCTGGTCTCAGACTCTGGTCTCACTCTGGTCTCAGACTCTGGTCTCAGACTCTGGTCTCAGACTCTGGTCTCAGACTCTGGTCTCACTCTGGTCTCAGACTCTGGTCTCAGACTCTGGTCTCAGACTCTGGTCTCACTCTCTGGTCTCAGACTCTGGTCTCACTCTGGTCTCACTCTGGTCTCACTCTGGTCTCAGACTCTGGTCTCAGACTCTGGTCTCACTCTGGTCTCAGACTCTGGTCTCAGACTCTGGTCTCAGACTCTGGTCTCACTCTGGTCTCAGACTCTGGTCTCAGACTCTGGTCTCAGACTCTGGTCTCACTCTGGTCTCAGACTCTGGTCTCACTCTGGTCTCAGACTCTGGTCTCAGACTCTGGTCTCACTCTGGTCTCACTCTGGTCTCACTCTGGTCTCAGACTCTGGTCTCAGACTCTGGTCTCAGACTCTGGTCTCAGACTCTGGTCTCACTCTGGTCTCAGACTCTGGTCTCACTCTGGTCTCACTCTGGTCTCACTCTGGTCTCAGACTCTGGTCTCACTCTGGTCTCAGACTCTGGTCTCACTCTGGTCTCACTCTGGTCTCAGACTCTGGTCTCAGACTCTGGTCTCACTCTGGTCTCACTCTGGTCTCACTCTGGTCTCACTCTGGTCTCAGACTCTGGTCTCAGACTCTGGTCTCAGACTCTGGTCTCACTCTGGTCTCAGACTCTGGTCTCAGACTCTGGTCTCAGACTCTGGTCTCAGACTCTGGTCTCACTCTGGTCTCAGACTCTGGTCTCACTCTGGTCTCAGACTCTGGTCTCACTCTGGTCTCAGACTCTGGTCTCACTCTGGTCTCAGACTCTGGTCTCAGACTCTGGTCTCAGACTCTGGTCTCAGACTCTGGTCTCACTCTGGTCTCAGACTCTGGTCTCAGACTCTGGTCTCAGACTCTGGTCTCACTCACTCTGGTCTCAGACTCTGGTCTCACTCTGGTCTCAGACTCTGGTCTCACTCTGGTCTCAGACTCTGGTCTCAGACTCTGGTCTCAGACTCTGGTCTTGTGTTCCTCTTGGCATGTGTTTGCAGTCACCGAGGAGCTGGTGCGGCGCCGAGCAGAGCATAACGAGGGAGAGATGTTTTCTTTGGAGGAACTGTCTCTGCACCAACAGGACCTGCATCAGATCCAGCACCTGCAGCAGTGGTGTCGCAACCTGAGGATCCTGTACCTGCAGAACAACCTCATCTCCACCATCGGTACTGTACCTGCACCTGTATACTGCACCAGTATACCTGCACCTGTATACTGCACCTGTATACCTGCACCTGTATACTGCACCAGTATACCTGCACCTGTATACTGCATCTGTATACTGTGCCTGTATACTGCACCAGTATACCTACACCTGTATACTGCACCTGTATACCTGCACCTGTATACCTGCACCAATATACCTGCACCTGTATACCTGCACCTGTATACTGCACCTGTATACCTGCACCTGTATACTGCATCTGTATACTGTGCCTGTATACTGCACCAATATACCTGCACCTGTATACTGCACCTGTATACCTGCACCTGTATACTGCATCTGTATACTGTGCCTGTATACTGCACCAGTATACCTACACCTGTATACTGCACCTGTATACCTGCACCTGTATACCTGCACCTGTATACTGCACCTGTATACCTGCACCTGTATACTGCACCTGTATACCTGCACCTGTATACTGCATCTGTATACTGTGCCTGTATACTGCACCAATATACCTGCACCTGTATACTGCACCTGTATACCTGCACCTGTATACTGCACCTGTATACCTGCACCTGTATACTGCACCTGTATACCTGCACCTGTATACTGCATCTGTATACTGTGCCTGTATACTGCACCAATATACCTGCACCTGTATACTGCATCTGTATACTGCGCCTGTATACCTACACCTGTATACTGCACCTGTATACCTGCACCTGTATACCTGCACCTGTATACTGCACCTGTATACCTGCACCTGTATACTGCACCTGTATACCTGCACCTGTATACTGCATCTGTATACTGTGCCTGTATACTGCACCAATATACCTGCACCTGTATACCTGCACCTGTATACTGCACCTGTATACCTGCACCTGTATACTGCACCTGTATACCTGCACCTGTATACTGCACCTGTATACCTGCACCTGTATACTGCATCTGTATACTGCGCCTGTATACTGCACCAATATACCTGCACCTGTATACTGCACCTGTATACTGCATCATGTCATACACACACGCCACACACACACAGACACACAGAGACACACACACACACACACACACACACACACACACACACACACACACACACACAGACACACACACACACACACACAGAGACACACACACGCACAGAGACACACAAACACACACACAGAGACACACACACACACACAGAGACACACACACACACACACACAGAGACACACACACACACACGCACACCTTTAATGTTTGTGTGTGTGTGTGTGTGTCTCTGTGTGTGTGTCTGTGTGTCTGTGTGTGTGTGTGTGTGTGTGTGTCTCTGTGTGTGTGTTTGTGTGTCTGTGTGTGTGTGTGTGTGTGTCTCTGTGTGTGTGTCTGTGTGTCTGTGTGTGTGTGTGGGTGTGTGTCTGTGTGTGTGTGTGTGTGTGTGTGTGTCTCTGTGTGTGTGTGTGTCTCTGTGTGTGTGTGTGTGTCTCTGTGTGTGTGTGTGTGCACAGAGAACCTTGGGCGTCTGAAGAAGTTGGAGTATTTAAACCTGGCTCTGAACAACATTGAGATCATAGAAAACCTTGAAGGTCAGTTCCTGTTGTGGGAGGGGCCTATGGCACAGACTGGCTGCCTGTCCCCAGGGCAGCTGTGGCTTCAGCATGGATCTATTATAATAACTGGATAGGGTATTACAGCTTGTAGCTGAATAACTCATGTGCTCGGGGGATTCTCGCGGTACTGCAGACTGAACCAAACTGAACCAGACTGAACCAGACTAAATTCACGTGGGCGACCCAGAAATTTTCCCCATAGAACTCAATGCATATTAAAACAGCTCAACCTCAGCTGACAGAGAACCTGACAGAGAACCTACAGCTTTAATAAAAAGATTGTGTGGGGATTTTAATGTCCCTTGTCATCCTGAACTTTTTTCTTCTTAAATCCTTCGGTTTTGTTTAAATCCACACTTTAGTGCCACAAACTCTGCTCGTCTGGCTCTGGCTCTAACTCCCGCTCTGATGAACTGCTCTGATTGGTCAGAGCCGAGCCCCTCTGTGCACGTGCGTGAGACCCTCTGTGCACGTGCGTGAGACCCGGTGTGAGACCCACACACGTGTGTTTGGGGCAATGCATTATGGGAGATCATCCACTGCACAGAACCAGGAGGACCAGACGATGCCCAAATACAGGAGAGTTTCCCATAGATCTTTGAGAGTTTCTCATAGACCTTTGAGAGTTTCCCATAGATCTTTGAGAGTTTCCCATAGATCTTTGAGAGTTTCCATAGACCTTTGAGAGTTTCTCATAGATCTTTGAGAGTTTCCCATAGATCTTTGAGAGTTTCCCATAGATCTTTGAGAGTTTCCCATAGACCTTTGAGAGTTTCCCATAGATCTTTGAGAGTTTCCCATAGATCTTTGAGAGTTTCCCATAGATCTTTGAGAGTTTCCCATAGACCTTTGAGAGTTTCCCATAGATCTTTGAGAGTTTCCCATAGATCTTTGAGAGTTTCCCATAGATCTTTGAGAGTTTCCCATAGATCTTTGAGAGTTTCCCATAGATCTTTGAGAGTTTCCCATAGACCTTTGAGAGTTTCCCATAGATCTTTGAGAGTTTCCCATAGATCTTTGAGAGTTTCCCATAGATCTTTGAGAGTTTCCCATAGATCTTTGAGAGTTTCCCATAGATCTTTGAGAGTTTCCCATAGATCTTTGAGAGTTTCCCATAGATCTTTGAGAGTTTCCCATAGACCTTTGAGAGTTTCTCATAGATCTTTGAGAGTTTCCCATAGATCTTTGAGAGTTTCCCATAGATCTTTGAGAGTTTCCCATAGATCTTTGAGAGTTTCCCATAGATCTTTGAGAGTTTCCCATAGATCTTTGAGAGTTTCTCATAGATCTTTGAGAGTTTCCCATAGATCTTTGAGAGTTTCCCATAGATCTTTAAGAGTTTCCAATAGATCTTTGAGAGTTTCCCATAGATCTTTGAGAGTTTCCCATAGATCTTTGAGAGTTTCCCATAGATCTTTGAGAGTTTCCCATAGACCTTTGAGAGTTTCCCATAGATCTTTGAGAGTTTCTCATAGATCTTTGAGAGTTCCAGGCGACTTCCGCTAACCTTTCAGCCCCCATGCCGTCACAAAGCGCCACTGAGCACGACCATTCATTTGAATAGAGCGCCATCTTGGATCGCCGGGGCTTGGGCTACAGTCATACTGTACACTCACACCATAAAACAAGTGCAAGTACTGTATCATATAATATACTATAGTACTCTGTGACTCTGTGACTGTGACTCTGTGACTGTGACTCTGTGACTGTGACTTTGTGACTGTGACTCTGTGACTGTGACTCTCTGACTCTGTGACTGTGACTCTGTGACTGTGACTCTGTGATTGTGACTCTGTGACTGTGACTCTGTGACTGTGACTCTGTGATTCTGTGACTCTGTGACTGTGACTCTGTGATTCTGTGATTCTGTGACTCTGACTCTGTGACTGTGACTCTGTGACTGTGACTCTGTGACTGTGACTCTGTGATTCTGTGACTCTGTGACTGTGACTCTGTGATTCTGTGACTCTGTGACTGTGACTCTGTGACTGTGACTCTGTGTGACTCTGTGACTCTGACTCTGTGACTGTATGACTGTGACTCTGTGTGACTCTGTGACTCTGTGACTCTGACTCTGTGTGACTCTGTGACTGTGACTCTGTGTGACTCTGTCTCTGTGACTCTGTGACTGTGACTCTGTGACTGTGAGACTCTGTGACTCTGACTCTGTGACTCTGTGACTGTGACTCTGTGACTCTGATTCTCTGACTCTGTGACTGTGACTCTGTGACTCTTTGACTGTGACTCTGTGACTGTGACTCTGTGACTCTGTGACTGTGACTCTGTGACTGTGACTCTGTGTGACTCTATGACTCTGTGACTGTGACTCTGTGTGATTCTGTGACTGTGACTCTGTGTGACTCTGTGACTCTGCGACTGTGACTCTGTGACTGTGAGACTCTGTGACTGTGACTCTGTGACTCTGTGACTCTGTGACTCTGTGACTGTGACTCTGTGACTGTGACTCTGTGACTCTGTGACTGTGACTCTGTGACTGTGACTCTGTGACTGTGACTCTGTGACTGTGACTCTGTTACTCTGTGTCTGTGACTCTGTGACTGTGACTCTGTGACTGTGACTCTGTGTGACTCTGACTCTGTGACTGTGACTCTGTGTGACTCTGTGACTGTGACTCTGTGACTGTGACTCTGTGATTGTGACTCTGTGACTGTGACTCTGTGACTGTGACTCTGTGACTGTGACTCTGTGACTGTGACTCTGTGACTGTGACTCTGTGACTCTGTGACTGTGACTCTGTGACTGTGACTCTGTGACTGTGACTCTGTGACTGTGACTCTGTAACTGTGACTCTGTGACTCTGTGACTGTGACTCTGTGACTGTGACTCTGTGACTGTGACTCTGTGACTGTGACTCTGAGACTGTGACTCTGTGACTCTGTGACTGTGACTCTGACTCTGTGACTGTGTGACTGTGACTCTGTGACTCTGTGACTGTGACTCTGTGACTGTGACTCTGTGACTGTGACTCTGTGACTGTGACTCTGTGACTGTGACTCTGTGACTGTGACTGTGACTCTGTGACTGTGACTCTGTGACTCTATGACTGTGACTCTGTGACTGTGACTCTGTAACTGTGACTCTGTGACTGTGACTCTGTGACTCTCTGACTGTGACTCTGTGACTGTGACTCTGTGACTCTGACTCTGTGACTGTGTGACTGTGACTCTGTGTGACTCTGTGACTCTGACTGTGACTCTGTGACTGTGACACTGTGACTCTGTGACTCTGTGACTGTGACTCTGTGACTGTGACTCTATGACTGACTGTGACTCTGTGACTGTGACTCTGTGACTGTGACTCTGTGACTGTGACTCTGACTCTGTGACTGTGAGACTACGACTCTGTGTGACTCTGTGACTGACTGTGACTCTGTGACTGTGACTCTGTGTGACTCTGTGACTCTGTAACTGTGACTCTGTGACTCTGTGACTGTGACTCTATGACTGACTGTGACTCTGTGACTGACTGTTACTCTGTGACTGTGACTCTGTGACTGTGACTCTGTGACTCTGTGACTGTGACTCTGTGACTGTGACTGTGTGACTGTGACTGTGACTCTGTGACTCTGTGACTGTGACTCTGTGACTGTGACTCTGTGACTCTGTGACTGTGACTCTGTGACTGTGACTCTGTGACTCTGTGACTGTGACTCTGTGACTGTGACTCTGTGACACTGACTCTGTGACTCTGTGACTGTGACTCTGTGTGACTCTGTGACTCTGACTCTGTGACTCTGTGTGACTCTGTGACGCTGTGTGACTCTGTGACTCTGTGTGACTCTGTGACTCTATGACTGTGACTCTATGACTGTGACTCTGTGACTGTGACTCTGTGACTGTGACTCTGTAACTGTGACTCTGTGACTGTGACTCTATGACTGTGACTCTTTGACTGTGACTCTATGACTGTGACTCTGTGACTTTGTGACTGTGACTCTGTGACTGTGACTCTGTGACTGTGACTTTGTGACTGTGACTCTGTGACTGTGACTCTCTGACTCTGTGACTGTGACTCTGTGACTGTGACTCTGTGACTGTGACTCTGTGATTGTGACTCTGTGACTGTGACTCTGTGACTGTGACTCTGTGATTCTGTGACTCTGTGACTGTGACTCTGATTCTGTGATTCTGTGACTCTGTGACTATGACTCTGTGATTGTGACTCTGTGACTGTGACTCTGTGACTGTGACTCTGTGACTGTGACTCTGTGATTCTGTGACTCTGTGACTGTGACTCTGTGATTCTGTGACTCTGTGACTGTGACTCTGTGACTCTGTGTGACTCTGTGACTCTGTGACTCTGACTCTGTGACTGTATGACTGTGACTCTGTGTGACTCTGTGTGACTCTGTGACTCTGACTCTGTGTGACTCTGTGACTGTGACTCTGTGTGACTCTGTCTCTGTGACTCTGTGACTGTGACTCTGTGACTGTGAGACTCTGTGACTCTGACTCTGTGACTCTGTGACTGTGACTCTGACTCTCTGACTCTGTGACTGTGACTCTGTGACTGTGACTCTGTGACTCTGTGACTCTTTGACTGTGACTCTGTGACTGTGACTCTGTGACTCTGTGACTCTGTGACTGTGACTCTGTGACTGTGACTCTGTGTGACTCTATGACTCTGTGACTGTGACTCTGTGTGATTCTGTGACTGTGACTCTGTGTGACTCTGTGACTCTGCGACTGTGACTCTGTGACTGTGAGACTCTGTGACTGTGACTCTGTGACTCTGACTCTGTGACTCTGTGACTCTGTGACTCTGTGACTGTGACTCTGTGACTGTGACTCTGTGACTGTGACTCTGTGACTCTGTGACTGTGACTCTGTGACTGTGACTCTGTTACTCTGTGTCTGTGACTCTGTGACTGTGACTCTGTGACTGTGACTCTGTGACTGTGACTCTGTGTGACTCTGACTCTGTGACTGTGACTCTGTGTGACTCTGTGACTGTGACTCTGTGATTGTGACTGTGACTCTGTGATTGTGACTCTGTGACTGTGACTCTGTGACTGTGACTCTGTGACTCTGTGATTCTGTGACTCTGTGACTGTGACTCTGTGATTCTGTGACTCTGTGATTGTGACTCTGTTACTGTGACTCTGTGACTGTGACTCTGACTGTGACTCTGTGATTCTGTGACTCTGTGACTCTGTGACTGTGACTCTGTGACTGTGACTCTGTGATTCTGTGACTCTGTGACTGTGACTCTGTGACTGTGACTCTGTGACTCTGTGTGACTCTGTGACTCTGTGACTCTGACTCTGTGACTGTATGACTGTGACTCTGTGAGTCTGTGACTCTGTGACTGTGACTCTGTGACTCTGTCTCTGTGACTCTGTGACTGTGAGACTCTGTGACTCTGTGACTCTGTGACTCTGTGACTGACTCTCTGACTCTGTGACTGTGACTCTGTGACTGTGACTCTGTGACACTGTGACTCTGTGACTCTGAGACTGTGACTCTGTGACTCTGTGACTGTGACTCTGTGACTCTGTGACTGTGACTGTAGGGTGTGAGTCACTGCAGAAGCTGGACCTCACAGTGAACTTCATCGGGCGCCTCAGCAGTGTGCAGACACTGACACACAACCTCCACCTGAGGGCGCTGTTCCTGACCGGAAACCCCTGTTCAGACTTCAGAGGATACAGAGAGTACGTGCTGTGTGCGCTGCCACAACTGCAGGTCAGACACAGACACAGACACAGACACACACACAGACACACACACACACACACACAGTCACACGCACACACACACATACACGTTTTTGTTACCTGGTGGGTCCCTTTGACAGGGCCGTTCAGAATGGGACCCATAGACATAATCTTTTTTTACTGGGACTACTTTAAGTAATACAAAACAGTCAATAGAAACCAAACAACTATTTTAAAGGAATTTTATTTTAGATTTTTTTTTCGAATTGCAGTGATTCTATTTTTGACATAGAATTTAATGCCACTCCATGTCCGATGTCTAAGGTCATCTGGTGAGGCATTAATGCAGGCCAGGCAGTGAGACTTCCCAGGGACCTTTCCAGTCTGTATGAAAGGTGTCATGGTCTTCTCCACAGCCTTCACCTCAGATGCAGACCATGGCTTTCTCTAACGTTCTAGGGAGAGAAATAAAAATATATTAGCAATATACACTCCCAGGGTTAGGACCAAGCAGCCTGGCTGTAATCCCCCACCTGGTACACTTACCAGAAGGGGCACTGCCACTACCATGGGGTGCATCTGGATGAATGGTTGAAGGTTCTCCGCTTGAAGTTTCTTTTAGCCCGTCCGTTTGTGAGAGGATCTCTACTGCTCTCCCTGTCGCACAGAAAATAAAAATACAAGTGGCCTTTAGGGGAAAAAAATCATACATATTTTAATAATATCAAGAATTACCTTCAGGCTCAATTTGTATCTGGTCGAGGCTCTTTCCTTCGAATTCCGTCACTCTTCCCTGCTCCATGGCCATCAACACTTTGCTGATTTTGGCCAGCTCCAGTGTCCCCTCTGGTAGTCTGTAATATTGCCTGTGGATGCGAATGTCATGGCCGAGGAAGTTGGCAAGTATGTCCATCTCATTCTCTTTCATATTGAGAACTGTAGACATAGTAGCTATGTGCTTTCTAAGTTTGGTTGAGGATAGCATCTCTGGATGCACCGCACCACATTCTTTGGCTACCTGGCGTAGGGAGTCTGATCCCCTGATGTGGGTGTCTGCGCCCGGGCGGGAAAAGAAGTATGGGTTATGGTCAGAGATGGAACAGGCCCTTCTGTTCTCCACCAGCACCTCCATCGAAGCAATCATTTCAGGAGTCAAAAGAACCACCACTTTCCCACTTCTTTTCCCTTTAATGTCAATGCGTTGAAAATGCTGACACAGCTTTTTCTCAAGTTGGGACAGTCCCAGAGCAATGTCAGAATGGATCCCAGTCTTACTTCTTAAGGTAAAGGCTGTCAGTGGCATCTTTGAAACCTCACCTTCCCTTCTTCGATTGAAAATGATGACCTCACAAAGAGTCAAAACTGCCAGTTTAGACCAATGCTTAGACGTTGGCTCACTTATTAGGGTTTGCACATATTCAGGTCGACATACCTCAATATGTGCATGCATGGCTCTAACGTCCTCAGTCAGAGGGAGCAGGTCCGGAGTGTTCCACTTGGCTTGCCGGAGGGTCTGTAGGGCAGCAGAAGAAACACAGACGTCCCACCTCTTCTCAAAAAGCAGCCGGCTTCGTTGGAGGTTTTTAATAAATAGTTCATCAACACAATGCTCCATTTTTGAGTCACATTCAAGAATATCTGCTAGCTTTCTGAGGCTATGGCCGAGTTTGAGGGCCAAGGATGGAGTCTTGTATTGATTTGTTTCCTCATCATATCCAGCCACAGACCTGACTGCATCAATCACATGGTTAAAGTTGGAAGGAATAAAGAAATCCTTAATTGTTTTCAGTTTCCCTGCGTTTTTGCTTCGTTAATTAACCTACCGACTTCTCTCATTTTCTGCCTAATGTAATCATGCTTAGTCTTATCATGCCCGTGTTTTAAGTACAGGTGCTCTCCGAGTCTCAGAATCCCCTTTTCTGCTTTGACAACACCCGTGACCTCATCCTGATGCATTGCCCAAATTAAAGACCACAGCTTTTTGCTGATGCCCTCCGGTACAGGCTGGGCTAGGGAGCAGAGGGACTGGACCCTACTTCTACCTGGTTTAGCCTGGTTTAGCCTGGTTTAGCCTGGGCATCTTTCTGTGAAAGCCGGCACCTGGCCACATGCCTCCACAGCGACTTTCGCTTAAGCAATGCCCCACAGTCTATACAGTGCAAAAACTCACTGGATTTAACTGGGGAATTTGGCTGTTTAGCTGGGACTAAAGTTCCAATGCCGGCCTTTAAAACCTCAAAATTGTGCTCACGGTTTCCACTATTCCTGATCAAATCAAACTGAAGTTTACGTGCTTTAGATTTCACAGGTAGAGCCAATGCTCTGGCTACGTCACTTTCATTTCCATGTTTTCTAGTCAAATGACGGGACATTTTGTGGCAGGACATTGAACAGTAGAGGCAGAAGTGTCTCTTGCTGTAAACTCGCCCCCCATTTTTCTTCTTTTGCAGCTGCATGATAACAATCTTATTTGCCTTTGGTTCGTCACTTTCCGAGTCTTGAAGAAAAGTGTTTTTGATTTTTCTTTTTCCATACTTTTTTACAGGTTTCTTCTTGACAGTTAAATTGTCAGAATCTGAGTCGACTTCATCAATTAGGGACTCTTGACTAAGCTGCACAAACAACAAATAATTAGTAATCATTCTATATAACAATTTGAAGTCATGACTTGTAGTCAGCACTTACCAGTGGTTTGTAAGCGTGCGCTTCAGTGTGCTGCTCTGTGATTGGCTGCAGCCTAATGAACCACACACTTGCACCTTTTTCTAGCCTGACACCTGATTTCCTCTGTTGTGCTGCTCCATGATTGGCTCCAGCCTCTGTTGTGCTGCTCCATGATTGGCTCCAGCCTCTGTTGTGCTGCTCCATGATTGGCTCCAGCCTCTGTTGTGCTGCTCCATGATTGGCTCCAGCCTCTGTTGTGCTGCTCCATGATTGGCTCCAGCCTCTGTTGTGCTGCTCCATGATTGGCTCCAGCCTGCTGGACTGAAATTGCCCCAGTGTGCCCCTCCTTGATATCCCGCAACCCACCACCAGGGTTCCGACACATAACACACTTTTTTCAGGAAAGTAAACCTCCAGGGGTCCTTTCCATATTTTTACAGAGACTGCATAAGGACCGTTAGAAAAGCATTACCCATTGATTATTAAGCTTGGACCAGTGGGGTCCGGTGTTCGGGCCCCACCACGTAAAACCAGTCCCCATGACGTGAGTGGAATCTCAGGTTATGGAACCCACCAGGAGTTGAAAACAAGTGCACACATACACACACACACACACACACACACACACACACACACACACACACACACACACACACACACACACACACACACACACACACACACAGACACACACACACACACACACACACACACACACACACACAAACACACACACACACACACACACACACACACACACACACACAGACACACACACACACACACACACACACACACAGACACACACACAAACAGACACACACACACACACACACACACACAAACAGACACACACTCTGAGTCTAACTTCTCGTGATAGTTCTTGGACGGAGCAGGGATCAGTCGTTCCGAGCGTCTGAGAGCGGCTCAGGGTCATCAGCACCTCCTCGCCCTGGTGCAGGAGCAGGAGGAGGCATATGTGGAGAGGAGGAGCAGTGAGAAGGAGAGGCTGTCCCAGGAGGAGAGGAGGCGAACCAGGGAGCAGGAGGAGCAAAGAGGAGCTCAGCACACACAGGAGGAGCAGGAGGAGCAGAGAGGAGCGCTGCACACACAGGAGGAGCAGAGAGGAGCTCAGCACACACAGGAGGAGCAGGAGGAGCAGAGAGGAGCGCTGCACACACAGGAGGAGCAGGAGGAGCAGAGAGGAGCGCTGCACACACAGGAGGAGCAGGAGGAGCAGAGAGGAGCGCTGCACACACAGGAGGAGCAGAGAGGAGCTCAGCACACACAGGAGGAGCAGGAGGAGCAGAGAGGAGCGCTGCACACACAGGAGGAGCCGAGAGGAGCTCAGCACACACAGGAGGAGCAGGAGGAGCAGAGAGGAGCGCTGCACACACAGGAGGAGCAGGAGGAGCAGAGAGGAGCGCTGCACACACAGGAGGAGCAGAGAGGAGCTCAGCACACACAGGAGGAGCAGGAGGAGCAGAGAGGAGCGCTGCACACACAGGAGGAGCAGGAGGAGCAGAGAGGAGCGCTGCACACACAGGAGGAGCAGAGAGGAGCTCAGCACACACAGGAGGAGCAGAGAGCAGCGCAGCAGCCACGGTCTGAACCACAGTCATTAACATGTTCCTCTGTGTGTATTTATTGTGATTATTTAAACTTCCTGTTTGTGTTGTTTGTGTCGCCCCCTAGAGGAGGCGCAGAGAGGCCACGGAGCCGCAGCGCAGAGGAGCAGGAGGAGCAGGACTTCTGGCAGACTCCCTGCTCCTTCAGCCCTGAGTCTCGCCTGGAGGCTCACAGACGTCTGCAGGAGAAGCGCCGGACTAAAGAAAAGTACGGTTTGAAAACACTCGACACCAAACATTTAAAACTTATTTAAACTGTTTTTCAGTTCGACCGAAAAGAAACCCTCTCCACCTCGAACTCTAACGGCTAAAGACGGACGAGTTCTGAACGTCAACGAAGCAAAGTGTGTCCTGCTTTAGTCCTGCTTTAGACCTGCTTTAGACCTGCTTTAGACCTGCTTTAGACCTGCTTTAGTCCTGCTTTAGTCCTGCTTTAGACCTGCTTTAGTCCTGCTTTAGTCCTGCTTTAGACCTGCTTTAGACCTGCTTTAGTCCTGCTTTAGTCCTGCTTTAGACCTGCTTTAGTCCTGCTTTAGTCCTGCTTTAGACCTGCTTTAGTCCTGTTTTAGTCCTGCTTTAGTCCTGCTTTAGACCTGCTTTAGTCCTGCTTTAGTCCTGCTTTAGTCCTGCTTTAGACCTGCTTTAGACCTGCTTTAGTCCTGCTTTAGACCTGCTTTAGTCCTGCTTTAGTCCTGCTTTAGTCCTGCTTTAGTCCTGCTTTAGTCCTGCTTTAGACCTGCTTTAGTCCTGCTTTAGTCCTGCTTTAGTCCTGCTTTAGACCTGCTTTAGTCCTGCTTTAGTCCTGCTTTAGACCTGCTTTAGACCTGCTTTAGTCCTGCTTTAGACCTGCTTTAGACCTGCTTTAGTCCTGCTTTAGACCTGCTTTAGACCTGCTTAAGACCTGCTTTAGACCTGCTTTAGTCCTGCTTTAGTCCTGCTTTAGACCTGCTTAGACCTGCTTTAGTCCTGCTTTAGACCTGCTTTAGACCTGCTTTAGTCCTGCTTTAGACCTGCTTTAGTCCTGCTTTAGACCTGCTTTAGTCCTGCTTTAGACCTGCTTTAGTCCTGCTTTAGTCCTGCTTTAGACCTGCTTTAGACCTGCTTTAGACCTGCTTTAGTCCTGCTTTAGACCTGCTTTAGACCTGCTTTAGACCTGCTTTAGTCCTGCTTTACACCTGCTTCAGTCCTGCTTAGACCCGCTTTAGACCTGCTTTAGTCCTGCTTTAGACCTGCTTTAGATCCTGCTTTAGACCTGCTTTAGTCCTGCTTTAGACCTGCTTTAGTCCTGCTTTAGACCTGCTTTAGTCCTGCTTTAGTCCTGCTTTAGACCTGCTTTAGACCTGCTTTAGTCCTGCTTTAGACCTGCTTTAGTCCTGCTTTAGACCTGCTTTAGTCCTGCTTTAGACCTGCTTTAGTCCTGTTTTAGTCCTGCTTTAGTCCTGCTTTAGTCCTGCTTTAGTCCTGCTTTAGACCTGCTTTAGTCCTGCTTTAGACCTGCTTTAGACCTGCTTTAGACCTGCTTTAGTCCTGCTTTAGACCTGCTTTAGTCTCTCCCTTCGTTCCCTGCTCTCTCTCTGGTCTCTCTCTGGTCCCTCTCTCTGTCTCTTCCCTGGTCTTTCCCTGGACCCTCTCTGTCCTCTCTCTGTCTCTCTCTGGCCTCCCTGGGCTTATCCCTGGGTCTCCTCTCTGGTCTCTTCTCTGGTCTCTCTCTGGTCTTCCCTGGTACGTTTCCCTATCTCCTTTCTGGTTCTCTCTCTGGTTTCTCCCTGGTCTCTCGCTGTCTCATCGCTCGGTCTCCACTTCTGTCCATATCAGCATATTCCCCAAATATAGGAAGCTTCACTTGTTGCTTCTCAGTGTGGTGTGTGTGTGGTTGTGTCTGTGTGTGTGTGGCCTTCAATCCATTCCCTGTGTTGACTGTTGACATTTGAGCGTCTCCTCCTTCATTATGGTGACTGGGGCTGTTGTGTGCTGATTAGCCACAAATCTCCCACGCAGCACATTCAGCCACCGAGTACTTTCACTTCATCCAATAAGGATGAAGGAATTATAATCCAGCGCCGAGAACAGACACACACACACACACGAACAACACACACACACACATACACACACAATGACACGCACCCACACACGGAACACACACACACACATGGACACACACACACACACACACACACACACACCACATTGACCCGCCCACACACAGCGGACACAAACTACGTAAAGACACACACACCATGGCCACACACACAAACACACAATCACATGACTCAACAAAACAAAGCTCGTTACACCGAACAGTTTAGGTTTTTAGAATTTGCAGATTGAGAGAAATTAGCTCTCTCTCTGGTCTCTCTCTGTCACTTTCTGGTCTCTCTCTGTCTCTCTCTCTGTCTCTCTCTGGTCTCTGTCTCTGGTACTCTCTCGGTCACTCTCTGATCTCTCTCTCTCTGGTCCAGCTTCCTGGTCTCACTCTGGTCTCTGTCTGGTCCTCTCTCTCGGTCTCTCTCTGGGCTCTGTCTGGTCTCTCTCATCTGGTCTCTCTCTGGTCCCTCTCTCTCGGTCTCTCTCTCTGTCTCTCTCGGGTCTCACTCTCTGGTCCTCTCTGGTCACATCTCTGGTCTCTCTCTGGTGTCTCTCGCTCTGTCCTGCTCTCTCTACTCTGGTCTCACTCTGGTCTCTCATGGTCTCTCTCGTCTGGGTCTCGTCTCTGGTCACTCTCTGTCTCTCTCGGGTCTGTCTCGCTGGTCTCTCTCTGGTCACCTCTGGTCTCTCTCTGTTGTCTCTCTGGTCTCTGGTCCTGTCTCTCGTCTCGGTCTCGTCTCTGTCCTCTCGGGGTCTCTCTCTCTGGTCTCATCTCTTGGTCTCTCTCTCTGGTCTTCATCTCTGGTGTCTCTTCTGTCGCTGTCCTGTCTCTCTCTCTTGGTCTTCTCTCTGTCTCTGTCTGGTATCTGCTGTCTCCTCGCGGGTCTTCGCTGGTCTCTGTCTGGTCCTCACTCTAGTTCTCTCTGGTCTCTCTACTTCTGGTCTCTCCTCTGAATCTCTCTTCTAACTCTCTGGTCTCTCGTCGTGGTCTCTTCTCATGTCTCTGTCTGGCACACTCTTTCGGTCCTCTCTCTGGTCTCTCTCTGGTCTCTCTCGGTCTCTCTCTGGTCCGTGCTTCGGTCATCTCTCTGGTCTACTCTCTGGTCTCTCTCTCTGGTCTCTCTCTGGTCCTTTCTGGTCTCAGCTCTGGTCTCTCTTGTCTCTCTCTCTGGTCCTCTCTCTGGTCACTCATCTGGTCGCTCTCTGGTGTCTCCTCTGGTCTCTGTCTGGTCTCTCTCATCTGGTCTCTCCTCTGGTCTCTCCTGGTCCTCTCTCATGTCTCTGTCTGGTCTCTCCGCTCTGGTCTCTCTCTGGTCTATCGCTGGTCTCGCTAGTTCTGGTCTCTCTTCTGGTCTCACTCTGGTCTCCTCTCTGGTCTCTCGCGCTGGTCTCTCTCTGTCTCTGTTTGGTCTCTCTGTCTGTTCTCATCTCTGGGCTCTCTCTGTCTCTCTCTGCACTCTTTCTGGACTCTCGCCGGGTCTCTTGTCTGTCTCTCTGTTCTGGTCTCCTCTCTGGTCGCTCTCCGGGTCTCTCTCTGTCTCTCTCTGGTCCACTCTCTGGTCACGGTCTCTGGTCCGTCTCCTGGTCACATCTCTGGTCTCTCTCTCTGGTCTCTTCTCTGGTCACTCTCTGGTCTTCTCTCTGTCACTCTCCGGTCTCTCTCTGGTCTCTTCTCTGGCTCTCTCTGGTCTCTCTCTGGTCTCTCTCTCTGGTACTCTCTCTGGTCTCTCTCTGGTCCTCTCTGGTCTCTCTCTCTGGTCTCTTCTCTGTCTCTCTCTCTGCTCTCTCTTAACACTCTCTGGTCTCGGTCTGAGGCTCACTCACTGGTCTCTCTCTGTTCTCTCTCTCTGGTCTCTCTCTCTGGTGTCTCTCTGTATCCTCTCTGTCTCTCTCTGGTCCTCTCGCTTGTCTCCTCTCTGGTCTCTTTCTAGTCTCCTCTGGCACAAAGAAAGTTTCCTTATGGCACCTTTCCTCTGTCCCCTCGCTCTGCGGCGCATCGTAATAAACTAAACTAATGGTATTCTGAATGTAAATATACAACGTTACACACACACACACACACACACACACACACACACACACACACACACACACACACACACACAGACACACAGACACACACTCACACAGACAAAAAATACAAAAGACACACAGACACACACAGACACAACACAGACACACGCAACACAGGCGCGGTCCCTCTGTAGTGTATTTTTAGCCCTGCTCCGATTGTGTTTGTGTGTGAGTGTGTGGTGTGTGTGAGTGTGTGTGTGTGTGTGTGTTGTGTGTGGTGTGTGTGTGTGGGGTGTGTGTGTGTGTGTGTGTGTTTGCGTGTTGGGTGTGTGTGTGTTGTTTGTGTGTGTAAAGTTGTATATTTACATTCAAATTCCATAGTTTTAGTTTATTTACGAGGCGCCGACAGAGCGAGTGGACAGTGACAGGTGCCATAAGGAAACTTTTTCTTTGTGCCAAGAGAGACGAGATAGTGACCCAGAGAGAGACAAGAGAGAGACCAGAGAGAGACCAGAGAGAGACCAGAGAGGACACCAGAGAGAGAGACCAGAGAGAGAACAGGAGGGACAGTGAGAGAGCCCAGACAAGAGACCAGAGAAGTGATCAAGAGAGACCAGAGAGAAGACCAGAAGAGAGACCAGAGAGAGAGACCAGAGAGAGACCAGAGAGAGACCAGAAGAGAGGATCCAGAGAGAGAGACCAGAGAGAGACCAGAGAGAGACCAGAGAGAGACCAGAGAGAGAGACCAGAGAGAGAGACCAGAGAGAGATACCAGAGAGAGAAGACCAGAGGAGAGACATAGAGAGAGACCAGAGAGAGACCAAGAGTGCCAGAGAGAGACCAGAAGAGAGACCAGAGAGAGAAGACCAGAGAGAGAGACCAGAGAGAGAGACCAAGAGAGAGACCCAGAGAGAGAGACCAGAGAGAGAGACCAGAGAGACCAGAGAGAGACCAGAGAGAGACCAGAGAGAGACCAGAGAGAGACCAACAGAGAGAGACCAGAGAGAGAGAGACCAGAGAGAGAGACCAAGAGAGACCAGAGAGAGACCAGAGAGAGAGACCAGAGAGAGACCAGAGAGAGACCAGAGAGAGAGACCAGAGAGAGAGAACCAGAGAGACCAAGAGAGAGACCAGAAGAGAGACCAAGAGAGAGACTCAGAGAGAGACCCTAGAGAGAGACCAAGAGAGCTCGAGAGAGAGACCAGAGAGTGAGAAGCCCAGAGAGAGAAGACCAGAGAGACCAGAGAGAGACCAGATGAGAGACCAGAGAGAGATCAGAGAGAGAGACCCAGAGAGAGACCAGAGAGAGAGACCAGAGAGAGAGACCTGAGAGAGACCAGAGAGAGACCAGAGAGAGACCAGAGAGACCAGAGAGAGACCAGAGAGAGACCCAGAGAGAGACCTAGAGAGACCAGAGAGAGAGACCAGAGAGCGACCAGAGAGAGAGACCAGAGAGAGACCAGAGAGAGAGACCAAGAGAGACCAGTAGAGAGACCAGAGAGAGACCAGAGAGAGAGACCAGAGAGAGAGACCAGAGAGAGACCAGAGAGAGACCAGAGAGAGACCAAGAGAGAGACCAGGAAGAGACCAGAGAGAGAGACCAGAGAGAGACCAGAGAGAGACCAGAGAGAGAGACCAGAGAGAGAGACCAGAGAGAGAGACCAGAGAGAGACCTAGAGAGAGAGACCAGAGAGCCAGACCAGAGAGAGACCAGAGAGAGACCAAGAGAGAGAGGACCAGAGAGAGAGACCAGAAGAGAGAGACCAGAGAGAGAGAGACCAGAGAGAGACCAAGAGAGACCAGAAGGAGACCCAGAGAGAGAGACCAGAGAGAGACCAGAGAAGAGAGACCAGAGAGAGACCAGAGAGAGACCAGAGAGAGAGACCAGAGGAGAGACCAAGAGAGAGACCAGAGAGAGAGACCAGAAGAGAGACCAGAGAGAGACCAGAGAGAGACCAGAGAGAGACCAGAGAGAGACTCAGAGAGAGACCCAGAGAGAGACCAAGAGAGAGACCAGAGAGAGAGACCAGAGAGAGAGACCAGATAAGAGACCAGAGAGAGACCAGAGAGAGAGTTCCAGAGCGAGAGAACCATAGAGAAGACCGAGAGAGAGACCAGTTGTGAGTTTGTGTGTGTGTCCATTGTGGTGTTGGCCGGTGTGTGTGCGTGGTCATGTGTGTAGTGTGTGTGTGTGTGTGTGTGTGTGTGTCCATGTGTGTGTGTGTGTCCGTGTGGTGTGTGCGTGTCAAATGTGTGTGTATGTGTGTGTGTGTGTCCGTGTGTGTGTGTGTGTCTGTTCTCGTGCGCGCGGATTATAATCTCTTTCATCCAATATTGATTGAAGTGAAAGTACTCGTGGCTGAATGTGCTGCTGGGAGATTGTGGCTAATCCAGCACAAAACAGCCCCATCACAAAAGGAAGGAGGAGACGCACAAATGTCAACAGTAACACACAGGACTGGATTAGAAGGCCACACACACACATTACACACACACACACACACACACTGAGAGCAACAAGTGAGTTCCTATCATTTGGGGGAATATGCTGATATGGACAGAAGTGAGAGACCAGAGAGAGAGACCAGAGAGGAGACCAGGAAAACCAGAGAGAGACCAGAAAGAGGACTAGGGAAAGACCAGGGAGAACCAGAGAGAGACCAGATAGAGACCAGAGTGAGACCAGGGAAAGACAGGGAGAGACCAGAGAGTGAACCGAAAGAGAGACCAGAGAGGGACCAGGGAAAGACCAGGAGAGCCAATAGAGACCCAGAGAAGGACTCAAGATAGAGACCAGGGAAAGACCAGGGAGGAACCAAAGAGACCAGAGAGAGACCATGGAAATACCGAGGGAGAGACCAGAGAGAGACCAGTGAGAGGGACTAGAGTCTTTGTCCTGTCTCTGACCCTCTCTCAGTGCGAGCAGGAAGGGCCTGAGGCAAGTTTAATTTGTGTAGGCCACAGTTCATACAGGAAGATCAACTCAAAACCCAAACAAGAAACATTAAAATCACAAAGAACTAGAATCATAAACACCAGTGAGAGACACGGACTCTCCTGGTCCCGGGTTGATGGTGTTTCTCACCAACGCCCTCAGCCGCTCCATGGTAACTTTTATTAGTTATGGCTCGGCCCGTTCTAACAGAGTCTAATATCATCAACAACCATCCACACACATAAAAATCATACAGAGCAAGTGTTTTTGTGTGTGTGTGCAAGTCCCAGCCCAGCCACAGTCCAGTCCAGCCCAGTTCAGTCCTGCCCAGCCCAGCGCAGTCCAGTCCTGCCCAGCCAAGTCCAGCACAGTCGAGTCCATCAGTCCATCCCAGTCCAGTCCATCTGCAAAGTTCTTGATACAATTATTTTTCACATATTCAATAAATGAACATTTGTGAGTACAATTCAGGATCCACTGTGAGTCGAAAGGAAAACCCCGTTCCAACTCTGAGACCATGAACGACTTCTCTGAGTCTGAGACTGGTTCTAACTCTGAGACCATGAAGAGAACTTCGTCTGATCAAGACTGTTTCCAACTTGAGACCATGAACGACTTCTCTGAGTCCTGAGACTCGGTTCCAACCTCTGAGACTCATGAAGCGACATGCTCTGATCCTGAGACTGTTCTCCCTGAGACCATGAAGCGACATCTCTGAGTCTGAGACTGTTCCAACTCTGAGACCATGAAGCTACTCTCTGAGTCTGAGACTGTTCTAACTCTGAGACCATGAAGCGACTTCTCTGATCTGAGACTGTTCCAACTCTGAGACCATGAAGCGACTTTTCTGAGTCTGAGACTGTTCTAACTCTGAGACCATGAAGCGACTCTTCTGATCGGAGATGTTCTAATCTCTGAACCATGAAGCGACTTCTCTAGTCTGAGACGTTCCAACCTGAGACCATGGAAGCGACTTCTCTGAGTCTGAGACTGTTTCTAACTCGAGAACCATGAAGCGACTTCTCTGAGTCTGACACTGTTCTAACTCAGAGACCATGAACGACTTCTCTGAGTCTGAGACTGTTCCAACTCTGAGACCATGAACGACTTCTCTGAGTCCGAGACTGTTCTACACTCTGAGACCATGAAGGCGACTTCTCTGATTCTGGAGACTGTTTCCAACTCTGAGACCATGAAGCGACTTCTCTAGTCTGACACTGTTCTAACTCTGAGACATGAAGCGACTTCTCGGAGTCTGAGACTGTTCTAACTCTGAGACCATGAAGCGACTTCTCTGAGTCTGAGACTGTTCTAACTCTGAGACCCATGAAGCGACTTCTCTGAGTCTGACACTGTCAACTCTGAGACCATGATGCGACTTCCCTCTGAGTCTGAACTGTCCAACTCTGAGACAATCGAAGCGACCTCTCTGAGTCTGAGACTGTTCCAACGCTGAGACCATGAAGCGACTTCTCTGAGTCGTGACACTGTTCTAACTCTGAGACCATGAAGCGACCTTCTCTGAGTCTGAGACTGGTTCCACTCTGATACCATGAAGCGACTTCTCTAGTCTGAGACTGTCCAACCTGAACCATGAAAGCGACTTCTCTAGTCTGAACGTCAACCCTGAGACCATGAACGACTTCTCTGAGTCTGAGACTGTTCCAACGTCTGACACCCATGAGCCGACTTCTCTGAGTCTGACACTGTTCTACACTCTGAGACCAATGAAGCGACTTCACTGAGCTGAGACTGAGTTTCCAAACTCTGGACCCCTGAAGCGACTTCTCAGATCTGAGACTGTTCCAATTCTCTGAGACCCATGAAGCGTCTTCTCTGAGTCTGAGACTGTTTCCATCTCTGAGACCATGAAGCGACTTCTCTGAGTCTGAGACTGTTCCAACTCTGATACCATGAAGCGACTTCTCTGAGATCTGAGACTGTTCCAACTCTGAGGTGGTATCTGGTTTGTAGTCAGGCTTTTCTTTGTATCAAGGATCTTTAGTCTGAGTCCCATCCTAGTCCACCCTAGTCCAGTCCGCCATGCTAGTCCATTCAAGTCCAGTCCAGTCCAGTCCAGTCCATTCGAGTCGCTTCACGTCCATTTGAGTCCAGTCCAGTCCATTCGAGTCCAGTAGAGTCGCTGCCGCAACGGATCTGTCAATTCCTCACCCTTCATCAAGCCTCGATAATTTACAAGAAGGAATGCTTTCCATTCGTGCATCAACCGCCTCCTCCACCAACCAGAGAAGACCAGAGAGAGGCCAGAGAGAGACCAGAGAGAGACCAGGAGAGACCAGACAGAGACCAGAGAGAGACCAGAGAGAGGACGCAGGGAGAGACCATAGAGAGACGCAGGGAGAGTCCAGGGAGAGACAAGAGAGACCTGAGAAGACCAGAGGAGAGACAAGAGAAAGACAAGAGAGACCAGGGAGAGACCAGAGAGAGACCAGAGAGAGGACCAGGAAGACCAGAGAAAAGCCCGAGAGAGAGACCAGATAGAGACCATGGGGGGGGGGGAGAGACCAAAGAGAGACCAGAGAGATACCAGAGAGAGACCCAGGGCTGAACCAGAGAAGACCAGAGAGAGACCAGAGAGAGGACCAGGAGAGACAGAGAGAAGGCCAGAGAGAGACCAGGGAGGAGACCAGAGAGAATCCCAAGAGAGACCAGAGGGGGGGGGGGGAACCAGGGAAGAGACCCCAAGAGAGACCTGGAAGAGACAGAGAGAGACCAGAGAGAGGACCAGGGAGAGACCAGAGAGAGACCAGGGAGAGAACAGGGAGAAACAAAGAGAGACTCAGATAGAGAACCAGCGAGACCAGAAGAGAGACCCAGAGAGAGACCAGGAGAGACTAGAGATACCAGATAGAGACCAGGAGGAGACAGAATAGAGACAGAGAGAAGACACCAAGAAGACAAGAGAGACTAAAAGAGAGAGACAAGAGAGACCAGCAGGAGACCAGAGAGAGACCAGGGAAGACCAGAGGAGAATACCAGAGAGAGACCAAGAGAGACCAGAGAGAGACCATAGAGTGACAGAGAGATACCAGAGAGAGATCAGGGAGAGACCAGAGAGAGACCAGGGAGAAGAACAGAGAGATACCAGAGAGAGGCAACAGAGAGAGACCAGAGAGAGACCCAAGAGAACCAGAGAGAGACCAGGGGAACCCAGAGTGAGACCGGGGGAGAGACCAGAGAGAGACCAGGGAGAGACAAGAAGAGACCAAGGAGAGACCAGGGAGAAACCAGAGAGAGACCAACAGAAGACCAGACGAGACCAGGAGAGACCAGAGAGAGACCAGAGAGAGACCAGGGAGAGACTAGAGAGAGAACCAGAGAGAGACCAGGAAGACCAGAGAGATACCAGAGAGATACCAGAGAGAGATCCAGAGAGTGACCCAAGAGAGACCAGAGAGAGACCAAGAGTTACCATAAGAGAGATCTGGGAGAGACCAGAGAGAGACCAGGGAGAGACCAGAGAGATACAGAGAGAGACCAGAGAGAGGCCAAGAGAAACCAGAGAGATACCAGAGAGAGACCAGGGAGAGACCAGAGAGAGACCAGGGAGAGACCAGAGAGAGACCAGAGAGAGACCAGAGAGAGACCAGAGATGGAACAGAGAGAGACCAGAGAGAACCAGAGAGACCAGGGAGAGCAAGAGAGATACCAGAGAGAGACCAAGAGAGGCCAGAGAGATAGCCACCCAAGTGTGGGGGGGGGGAGGGGGGGTGTGGGGGGGGGGGGGGGGGGGGGGGGGGGTGGGGTGGGGGGGGGGGTGGGGGTGGGGGGGGGGGGTGGGAGACCCCACGGGGGGGGGGGGGGGTGGGGGGGGGGGGGGGGGGGGGGGGGGGTGGGGGGGGGCGGGGGGGGGGGGGGGGGGGGCCCAGAGTGAGATCAGGGTGAGACCAGAGTGAGACCAGGGAGAGACCAGAGAGATACACAGAAGAGACCTGAGAGAGGCCAAGAGAGACAGAGAAGATACGAGAGAGACCAGGGAGAGACCATAGAGAACCAGGGAAGACCAAGAGAGACCAGAGATGGACCAGGAGAAGGCAAAGAGAGACAGGACCCAGAGAGATACCAGAGAGAGACCAGGGAGAGACCAGAGAGAGACCAGGAGAGACCAGAAGGGAGAGACCAAGAGAGACCAGAGTGAGACCAGAGATGGACCAGAGAGAGACTAAGATAGACCAGTGAGAGAGACAAGAGAGACAAGAGAATAGACAAGAAGAGACCAGATAGAGACCAGAGAAGACCAGAGATGGACCAGAGAAGAGACAGAGAGAGACCAGAGAGACCAGAGTGAGACCAGAGACACCAGAGAGAGACCAAAGAGAGACCGAGAGAGACAAGCTGGAGACAGCCGTTTGGACTACGGACCTGTCCCCATGGATCCTGGACTACCTCCACAGACAGGACCCCAGTTTGTGAGAACCAGGGACTTTGTGTCTGAGGTCCCTGACCGGCTGTGTGGGGCCCCCCAGGGGACTTCAAGACACAACACGGTCGGTTGTGTCCTCCAGAAGTTCTCCAACCGACTCTGCCATCATCGGACTCAGCTCCGAGGACTATGACCACAGAGTACGAGAGGAGTTATAACAGGACTTTGTGGTCGAGAAAAGACGCAAGGAGATGAACCACCACCTCATCAACAGAAGACCAAGGCGGTTAACCCCCTCTCATCACAGAAGACCAAGAGATGAACCACCTCCTCACAACAGAAGACTCAAGGAGATGATCCCACCTCCTCATCAACAGAAGATCCAAGGAGATGAACCACCTCCTCATCAACAGAAGACCAAGGAATGAACCACCTCCTCATCACAGAAGACCAAGGAAATGATGAACCACCTTCCTCATCAACAGAAAGACCAAGGGGGGGGGATGAACCACCTTCTCATCAACAGAAGACCAAGGAGAATGAACCACCTCCTCATCAACAGAAGACCAAGGGAGATGAACCACCTCCTCATCAACAGAAGACCTAAGGAGGAAGAACCACCTCCTCATCAACAGATGACAAGGAGAACAACACCTCCTCATCAACAGAAGACTCAAGGAGATGAACCACCTCCTCATCAACAGAAGACCAGGAGATGAACCACCTCTCGATCACAGAAGGCCCAAGGAGAAGAACACCTCCTCATCAACGTGAGGAAGACAAGGAGATAACCACCTCCTCATCATCGCGGAAACTAAGGAGATGAATCCACCTCCTCATCAACGCGGGAGACTAAGGAGATGAAACCACCTCCTCATCACCGTGAGGACGACCAAGGAGATGGTGTGGTTTTCCGCAGACGTCCACTCTGCCGCTCCAGCTCCAGAACAACCAGGAAAGGACATCGAGAGGAGTGGACTCTTCAAGTACCTGGGTGTTCATCTTAACCACAACTGGACGGAGTCATAACACAGACGCCCTCTTCAAGAAGGCCTGAGCCGCCTCTACCTGCTGAGGAGGCTCAGGTCCTTTTGGAGTGCAGGGGCCACCCTGACGACCTCTATTACTCTGTGGTGTATCTCTTGTACGGTGTGGTCTCTGAACAGCAGCATCACAGAGAGGGACAGGAAGAAGCTGACAAGGTTATTCAGGAAGTCCACTCAGTCCTGGCTTTCCCTGACACAGTGCAGCAGGTGGTGTACAGGAGGTCCTGAGCAAACTAACATCTATGCGGACATGACTGTCGCCCCCTGCAGACACTCTCTCTGCTCTGGAGAGCAGCTTCAGTGCGACTAATTCACCCTCGCGTGGAAGGAGAGTTGACAGTCCTTCTCCCTGCTGCTGTCAACTGTACACGAGAATTGCAACAGAACTGCTAATCATCACTGATAGTTCACTATCACTTTGTCACTAGTCCTACTGACCTTTATCAGTACTACTGTATTATTACAGATCTGATAATTCTGCCTTTCACCGTCACTTTACCGTTGATATTTTTACGAAGCTTATTCTGCTCATATTCATATTCCCGCTGCTAAAGTACATATATACATCCTGTTAGCAACTCCTGAAGACCAAGTGCCGTTAGAGCCCAAATTTATTTATTTCTTATCTTATTTTTATTGTCTATTGTCTTAACAATAGACTATTTGATGTGTGCAATCTGAGTGCTCTTATGTCCTCTCTCAGCTGTAATGTGCAACGATTGACACTGACATTTTCTCCCACTGTGAGACTAATAAAGGTTTTATCTTATCTCAGAAGAGAGAGAGACCACAAGAGAGAGCAGAGAGATAGAGACCAGGGAGAGAGACCAGAAGAGAGAGCAAGAGAGAGACCTGAGAGAGAGCAGAGAGAGACCGAGAGAAGACCAGAGAGAGAGACCAGGGAGAAGAGCAAGATAGAGCAGAGAGAGAGACCAGAGAGAGACCAGGTGAGAGAGCAAGAGAGAGAGACCAGAAGAGAGACCAAAGAGAGAGACCAGAGAGAGAGCAGAGAGAGACCCCAGAGAGAGAGACCAGAGAGAGAGACAGAGAGAGAGACCAGAGAGAGAGACCAGGTAAGAGACCAGGATCGAGAGCAGAGAGAACTGAGAGAGAGCAGAGGAGAGAGAGCAAGAGAGACCAGAGAGAGACCAGGGAGAGAGAGCAGAGAGAGAGCAGAGAGAAGACCAGAGAGAGACCAGGGAGAGAGAGCAGAGAGAGATACCAAGAGAGGAACCAGAGAGAGAGCAAGAGAGACCCAGAGAGAGAGACCAGAGAGAGAGACCAGTAGAAGAGAGCAAGAGAGAGCAGAGAGAGAGCAGAGAGAGAGAGAGCAGAGAGAGGACCAGAGAGAGACCAGGGAGAGAGACCAAGAGAGTCCAGAGAGAGACCAGAAGAGAGACCAAGGAGAGAGACCCATAGTGAGTCCCAGAGAGAGAACAAGAGAGAGAGACAAAGACAGAGAGAGAGACAGAGAGAGAAAGAGAGAGGGGGACCAGGAGAAACCAAGGCCGTACTAGCTCTCAAGGGAAAGTCTGGAAGCGTTTTTGTTCTCACCACATACCTGTTTTGGTTCAAGTTATGAAGGAAAGAACTCACACTGGTCTATTCAGCAGGTGACAACACCCTGATCCAAAACTCACACAGGGAAGAGTGTGTGTGTGGCCTCCATGGTCTCTCTCTGCTCTCTCTCTCATGCTCTCTCTCTGCTCTCTCCTCTGCTCTCTCTCTGCTACTCTCTCCCTGTCTACTTCTGTCACCTCTCTGCTCTCTCTCTCTACTGCTCTCTCTCTGCTCTCTCCTGCTCTCTCTACCTGGTCTCTCTCCTCTGGTCTCTCTCTCTAATGGCCTCTCTCTGCTCTCTCTCTGTTTTCCGCCTCTCTGGTCTCTCTCTCTGCTCTCTCTCCCTGGTCTCGTCTCTGGTCTCTCTCTCTGCTCTCTCTCTGCTCTCATCTCCCGGCTCTCTCTGTGTCTCTCTCTGCTCTCTCCGCTCTGCTCTCTCGCTGCTCGCTCTCTGCTCTCGCTCCCTGGTCTCTCTAACCCCTGGTCTCTCTCTCTCTGGTCTCTCTCTCTGGTCTCTCTCTCTGGTCTCTCTCTCTGTCTCGTCTCGTGCTCTCTCTCTGGTACTCTCCTCTCTGGTCTCTAAGTCTCTCTCTGTCTCTCTCTCTCTGCTCTCCCTCCCTGGTCTCTCTTCTGGTCTCGGTCTCTCTGTCTCCGCTCAGCCTCTCTAACTCCCTGGGTCGTCTCTCGCGGTCTTCTCTGCACGGTCCTCCTCTCTGCTCTCCTCTGGTCTCAGTCTCTCTGCTCTCTCTCCTCTGGTCTCACCTCTCTCTCCTCCCTGTCTCTCTCTCTGCTCTCTCTCTCTGGGTCTCCTCTCATCTCTCTGAAGATAAGATAAACCATTTTATATAGTCCTCACATGTGGAAGAAATGTCAGTGTCATCGTTGCAACATATCAGCAGGAGAGAGGACATAAGAGCACCTGATGGCACACATTCAAATAGTCTAATGTATAAGACAATAGACAATAAAATTAAGATAAGATAAATAAACTTTGGGGCTATTACTGCACTTGGTTCAGGATTATTATACAGATGTATAGATTGTACTTTAGCAGCGGAGAATATGAATCTGAGCAATAAGCATCGACAAAATAGCACAGGTAAAGTGACGGTGAAAGGCAGAATTATCAGATCTGTAATAATACAGGTAGTACGGAAAACAGGTAAAGGTGACTAGTGACAAAGTTATAGTGAACTATCAGTGACAGATTAGCAGTTCCTGTTGCACATTCTCGTTGTGGTACTGTCTGGACAGCAGCAGGGAAGAAGACCTGTCAACCTCTCCTTCACACAGCAGGGTGAATAGTCTGTCACTAAGCTGCTCTCCAGAGCTTAGAGATGTCCTCATGGGGGTCGACAGTCATGGTCAAGCATAGATGTTTAGTTTTGCTCAGGACCCTCCCTGTCCGCCCACCTGCTGCAACTGTGTCCAGGTACACGCCCAGGACTCGAGCGGACTTCCCTGATGACCTTGACCAGCTTCTTCCTGTCCCTCTCCTGTGATGCTGCGTTCCAGCAGACCTCACCGTACAAGAGGCTCCACCACAGATCAAGAAGTTCTTCAGGAGTGTCCCCTGCACTCCTAAAGACCTGAGGGCCTCCTCAGCAGGTAGATGCGCTCGGCCCTTCTTGAGAGGGCGTGCTGGTATGACTACAAGTCCTAGTTTGTGTTCAGATGAACACCCAGGTACTTTGTAAGAGTCCAAATCTATCGATGTCCTGTATCCCGGGATGTCACTGGAGCTGGAGCGGCATAGGACGTCTGCGGAAAACCCCCCACCAATCTCCTTGGTCTTACCTCACGTTGATGAGGAAGGTTGTTCATCTCCTAGTCTTCCCCGCGTTGATTAGGAGTGTGGTTCATCTCCTTAGTCTTTTCCCCGCGTTGATGAGGAGGTGGTTCATCTCCTTGTCCTTCCTCACGTTGATAGAGGAGGTGGTTCTTCCTCCTTGGCCATTCTGTTGATGAGAAGGTGTTTCATCATCCTTGGTCTTCTGTGATGATGAGGTGGTTCATCTCCTTGGTCTTCTGTTGATGAGGAGGTGGTTCTTCTCCTTTGGTCAATCTGTTGATGAGGAGGTGGTTCTCTCCTTGGTCTTTTCTTTGATGAGGGAGGTGGTTCATCTCCTTGGTCTTCTGTTGATGAGGAGGTGGTTCATCTCCTTGGTTCTTCTGTTGATGAGAAGGTGGTTCTCTCCTTGGTCTTCTGTTGATGAGGAGGTGTTCATCGTCCTTGGTCTTCTGTTGATGAGAGGTTTCATCTCCTTGGTCTCTTTGATGAGGAAGGGGTTCTCTCCTTGTCTTCTGTTGATGAGGAGGTGGTTCATCCTCCTGTGGTCTTCTGTTGATGAGGAGTGTTTCATCTCCTTGTCTTCGTTGATGGAGGTGGTTCACCTTCCTTTGGTCTTCTGTTGATGAGGAGCGTGGTTCATCTCCTTGTTCTTTCTCGTCCACAAAGTACTGTATAAACTCCTCGTACTCGGTGTCAATCGTCCTCCGAGCGAGTCCGATGAGGGCAGAGTCGTTGGAAGGAACTTCTGGAGGACACAACCGACCGTAGTTGTGTCTGAAATCCCCTGGGGGCCCCCACACTGCAGGTCAGGACCTCAAGACACAAAGTCCCTGGTCTCACAAAGCTGGGGTCTGTCTGTGAGGTAGTCCAGGATTCCACTGGGACAGGTCGGTAGTCCACAACGGCTGTCTCCAGCTTGTCCTCTCTCCTCTCTCCGGTCTCTCTTGGTCTCGCTCTCGGTGTCTCTGGTCTCTCTCCTGGTCTCTCTGGCTCGTCTCTGTCTTCTCTCTGGTCCATCTCTGGTCTCTCGTCTGGTCTCTCTCTGTTCTCTCTCTGGTCTCTCTCTGGTCTCTCTCTTGGTCTCTCTCACAGGTCCTCTCTCGCTTGTCCTCCTCTCTGGTCCATCTCTGGTCTCTCTCTGGTCTCTCTCTGGTCTCTCTCTGGTCTCTCCTGGTCTCTCTCTGGTCTCTCCCGGGCTCTCTCTGGTATCTCTCTGGTCTCTCTCTGGCCTTCTCTCTGGTCCCATGCTCTGTCTCTCTCTGTCTCATCCCGGTCTCTCCTCTGGTCCCTCGTCCCTGGTCTTTCTCTGGTATCTCCTCGG